TTCAAATGCACGGAAAACAAATATCGCGTACTAGAGTAAATATTTCCGCTGTAAAAGTTGTTTATTATAAATACTTTTTCCTCAATGAACCGCATTTTACAAAAAAAATTAATGCCAGTTGTCATAAACTGATAATGACGTTTGAATCTGATTTTTGTCTTACTATGTAGTCATGGCTTAACATGATTTAGGTACGTGGATTTATTGCAGACTTTTGATAAAATATAGTGAGAAATACACGAGGAAAACAATCTTCTTTCGATTGGTGTCATTATAAACCCTCTAAGTTAACATGGGGAGCAACTATCTACAAAAAACCTTTTTCCCATGTTAATTTCCTATCTTCGGTTTGGGAATATTCACCCGGTATAGCTACAAATATCAGCAAATTAATATGTATGCCTTTTGCACCTATGTTAAGGGAGTGCGAGTATGGTAGACGTGCGACACCGTTACATAAACGTCGCTCAACAATATGAACGCTAGGTACAACTGCAGGGAATCAATCGTCTACTTTTTCTTTACGCCGAAGTACTGAAATATCTCGGTACCTTTTTTACAAGTGGCGCATCTATTTATCAGTGGCTGCATAACCCTCATCGAAATTGTTAAAGTGGTGCCTATTATAGTCTGTCTAAAATGGACGCGAAGTAATAAATTTACCTGATAGACAGACAAAGAAGCACTTCCATACAAAAATACTATTACTATTTCACAAATTTATAATATATTACTTCGCGTCAATTTTAGATAGACTATAGCCATTTCTCTCTCCACGATAAAGGATTTAAGACTGTCAAAAACGTTTTTTTTTTAATATCTGGATTGAGCTAGGGCTAGGAAGCTTTTTGTTAAGAATTTTGCAATTTTGAGGATACATCATTTTGGCATGAATCTTTAAAGGGCACGCGGTGTAATTAGGTTAGTCGTTAGTAAACAGTTTAGAACAGGACTGCTCAACAAAGATCCCTATTGTAGTTAGATACTATTAGGACTTTAGCAATAAAAAATGTAACTTCTATCCAATAGGCTTGGAGAGCGAGGGCGAAGAGGCGCGCGGTAGTCGAATAGATAACCGCGCGCAGGTAAGATCACAGACAAAAGTAATGATAATAATCGGATGCTTACTGCCGCTTAGGCAACCATCTAAACTGGCAACGTTGAAGCGTGCCTTGATATAAACACTACAGACCACAGCAGGTATAATAAATTACAAGAATTGGAAAATCTGTTTTTAATTTTGCATATTGGTTTTCCCAATTGTTGCAACATACTTACCTCTGCCTGTATATCAAGATAGTGACGAAGAAATTGCTAAGAAGGACCAAGGCGCGTCGCGTGCGTCCTATAACGATGGAAATGTTAATAACTAGGTACCTTGTTAATTACCTATTCGATAAACAGTGTGTTCATGTTATGGTTCTTCTTCCATTATAAGGAAATGTGATTTTAAATGCCGAGGGAGTATAAATTACCACTTCATTTTTTGTCAGTGTGTAACAAAACTAGAACACAAAAACTTAAGAGAGAACCTATTTGTTAAAAAAAAGAGAAAGTCTTGCAAAATTAGCCTTAAAACCAGTTTTTATTTGAGAGAAAAACGAGATTGAAGATACCAATGTGAATTAATGTCTCTTTAGTTTGCCAGAATATAATATGTAATGCATAACATTCGGTTTTACCAATTTTTGTAATTATACCTACAAGCCAGTGACGAAGAAACGCCGAAGCAAATACGACAATGCGTGACGCCGAATCCCACACGAATTCCCGCCAGGGAGTTCAATGTTGCCATTTTAGATAGTGTATGGTTTATTGCCTAAGTGGCAGTAAGTTCCCGATTATCATTATTTTTGTCGGTGATCGTACCTACTTACTTTACCCGGCAAGCAGAACATTTTCAAAAGAAATATTAAATATAGCCTGCGCGGTTCATTAGAGATTCGCCGGCGGGCATGGGGTTGAGCAGCCCTTTATTATGAATATATTGAAATTTATTTGGCATCAATCTATAAACAATGGACGGTTCAAAGTTTCTATAGACTTACAATTTTGAAAATGGGTTTGTAAATTTGTACTGAAAAACACAAACATTGATAAATGTTTGCTGAAGTTTCATCATAACCAAAATAAACTAAAAAGAATCTAACTATAGAAACATCTTTTTGTTTTCTTTAAGATCCCATATGCCACGAGTGAAAAATAAGAGGAATATAACGATGGTGGGAACTAGCACAGCACGCGATGGAAGTCATCATATTATTTCCTTTGCGCTGGTGAGTTACATCGACTTTTCATAAAACGGAAGAGACGATGTCAGTTTTGTTTACTACGCCACTGTAAATGATGACGCGTTTCCCCCCACTCCTTTTTATCAATTTTCGTATCGTGTCCTTTTAATGCAACTTCCTCCTTTTATTTTTTACTTGTAGATAAAGTTGGCTAATACATATTTTACATTTTTTTTATAATAGTTGCGTTGCAATTAGGCTGCTACGAAATTCGCTTTAAAAAGGGTGCACCGCTCTCTTCATTAATAACCGTGTTAATAAATATGCTGTTGCCCAACCATGCATTTTTCACTTGCTGCCAATGGGAAATTATCGCAAATGACGCAATGCAGTCAAATTTTTATTTTCAAAATTAGAATCATATGATGCAGTCCAGAGTGGGACTAAGAATTCCATTATTTAACACATCTATTAAAACTGCTGGTCGGTTACAAACTGGTTCACCTCGTTTTAAGAGCTAGCTAATTTGTGTTAAACAAGTTCAAATTTGAAGTTTTGGGCTAATCAGCGCCGCGTAAATTGAAACCGCTGTCCGTAGAAGTCCCGACCCGTGTCTTACGAAATGTTAAGTTCGTTAAAAAATTCAATATGTAAAATATTGATCTAATGCTGATCCTTTCATCTAACTGTTAAAATATATCCACTTCCATGGAAACAAACGTATATTGACGTTTATCCATCAATGACCGCAACATGAAAACCGGTCCTAAAATATAAAATAGGAATTTATAAAAATAAACAAAAACTTGAAGCGCCTCGCTTATGTGGCGTAGCATAAACACCTACATTAATTTTTTTATTCGGCATTACCATTAAACTCTTACTGCATACCAAACTTAATTTCCTAGAAATTTACTGGGGCGACGAGATTGGACGAATTACCCACTCTTATACATCCCCCTCACGTTGGGCAATGTGTGTGCAAACGAATCGTTTGAAACGATGTGACATGTTCAGTGGCCCAGCAATTTGTGAAGTCCACACGTTGAAGATTTTCTCTAACATTGATTCAGGTTAATGGGTGACAGTAAAAATTCTGAAACGCAAATCGCGACGCTAACGGCTGCCGCGGTTATTTATTTACAGCATACAAGTACTATTATACCTAAGCAAAGTGTACTGAAACAAAAAGATGGTAATCTAAACGCGTATTGCGGCTGCGTAGGGAACGTATGGATGCGACGGTCAGCACTGCGCCCTTTTATCCGTGTTGAAAAAACAGACTCCACTCCGATCTGTCAGCAACGCGTGTCCAAACACCTACAAAGGTTACCTTAACCCCTTCCCCATTCCGCATGTAGGCCCTACGTATTGGCAAAAGTGAAAGTATTAAGTTTACTGCAATATTCTATTCAGATAATGTAAAGGCAAAAGTAACTTATTTCAAAAGTCAATAACCAGTTTATTTCTTGCATCATTTATACATGTAATGGCTGTATAAAAATTTGTCGTCGGACATTCAATGGATAGTATCGGATCAATACCTATAAATCTGCTAATAAAAGAATCATTTCTTCCATACAACAGGATTTCCTGAATAGCACGATCCATTTTCCAAAATTTTTAATTTTGTCTACATAATTTTCCAAAACAATTCATGTTGGTTAAGTGACTTGTAAGATACCAGTGGAGGAAATATAATTATTAAACTTATAAAATAAACTTTTACAAACTAAATTTACGATAAAACAGTGGCGGTCCTAGGATTTGGTAAAGCGAGGGGCCCAAACCCGTACTTCGTCCCAACACAGAAAAAAATAAAGATCTGGCATAATGGAAACGAGATCGACCCCCCTCCCCCCCCCGGGACCGCCCCTGGAAGGAACACGAATGAAAATTAATCCTATCGTGATTTGAAGATACGGATGTGTACTGTCAATATAATTACAAAACTAGCAGCAAATATGCAATTGAAATTATATTTAAACACATACTGATTTTACAAACCTTATCATTTGCCTAATTGCACACTACTAAATGATAAATTACCAATTCAGAACCAGTATTTGCATCTATTAATTGTAACTTTCACAAAGCAGCAACTTAGGTGTCCCTACCTTCCAACATCTAAAATTGGAAAAGCACAACGGCGCGTAATATTTAGGCTATATAACAAATTGCTCGATCGATTATATTACATATTTTTAATTTCGGCAGACTTTTAATCCAAAATCTTAGTGCAGTCATTAAAATACTACTTTGGACATGTTAAAATTGGTATCTATCCCAATTTAGATTACCAAACGTAAACTGGTGCGTGTTTAATTTCATGTTATCTACAAAGCCAATTGGCCAAAACCAACGAACCACTTGAAGAGTATTTATATTACATCATCTTAACATAGGACGAATTGTCTGTTTAAATGAAATGAGCATAGAAATTACAATACTATTCAGTTTGTTTAAATAAATATTGCGAATGTACTGCACTGCTTGGTAATTTCTTAAATTTTGAAGTTTTCTAATTTAGGTACAAATAGATATCGAGTTAGAGTTTGATTCCCTCTGAGGCTCTGCTGTATATAGAGAACTGTAATGAAATTACATATAAGCAAATATGAACCTACCTTTTAAATTGCTTACGATGTTCTGCTCCAAACTGCACCAAATCAAGTTCGAAGATACAAACCTAAGCTCAACTTTGCTTCATGTAAATGTTGGGACAGTAATTTAATAACCTTAATAAACAGGGGAGAAAATCAACAATAATAAAAAGCAAATTTAAACTTTATTTTTAAGAATGATTTAGTATATAATTTAAAATCCATGTAATTATTACAGGAAATCACTGCTGTGGAACATCATTGGCCGCACCATTTTAAGAGCTTCCAAACCTGAAACAATAGACACAAGTGCTCAAATAACAAGTAAGTATGAGAATGAAACACAAGAAATATGTAGTAAATTGATGAGACGTACTGTAATCGTCTATACGGTTCTCAGTATTTATTTGATAAACCACATTGCAAAGTGAATGAAAAAAATACGTAAATCATATTCACCTTTAATCCGCGATTCCTTGACTGGTCTTCAATGAACACCTCGTAGTTGTCTGCTGGTTGATTGCGAATTTCATGGAACCCGGGAACAGAGTGCGTACAATTCGGATTACTGGTCTGTGGCCCAAAGCAGTTGATTTCTTCTCCCAAATTGGAATTGTGGCAAAGGCTCTACTCCATGTGGGAATGTACTCGTAGATATTTTAAAGGTTTTGCGTTTAGAGTGTATTTAAATTCAATTATGTTTATTAAAGTAAGTCCCACCACCACCCAGCCCAATTGTTTTATTAACAACAAATATAGCAAATAATTGAAGGATAAAACAATTGGTCTGCTTACTTATTGCTCAAACACCTAATTTATTTTTACTTTCGGAGATGAAATCGCACATCACCAAAAGCAATAAAAGCACCACACTTTCATAATTAATTATTACAGAAAAATGGGAAGTTTTAATTATTTCAGCAGCCAATTGATACAATAAAAAAACATGTTCAGATTCCAGAAACTTGCTATCACATTTCAACTATAAACATAGTCGAAAAGTGTACCTAGGAACAAATTTCCGAAAGGACACGTATTATAGTCATTGCATAATATTATCTTGTCGCTGTCGTCCAATGTTAAACTGATTAGTTTTTAATTCGCATTAAGGGGAGTAACACCCTAGCAGTCCCATCACTCCACACTGATTTGCTTATTTGAGCCCGCCCACTAAGTAGACGATTATTTCAACCAGTAGAGATTACACACTAGTCTAAGCAGTCAGATGTATTTTGCGATCAAGTGTAAGGAAGACACAAACTATCAAATGAACAAAATTGATAAGGTTGCAATGTAGAGAAAATTAGAACATACACTTCGAATGTGTGTATCAACTAAAAACATACCTAAATTGTAAATTCCACTATTCCAAATAGAAAGTGGGTAATGAAAACAACAAATTACTGTGAGCAAGTGGCGTGATTTTTAGTTTTATAATTTGTTTGGAAATGATGCAAGCAGTACTAAAATAACACAGGTAAAGTTGCACAAAAAATAGCCAAAGATACCTATACCTCATTCCAATCCACAAACAATAGAATGGAACTACAAATATCTACAATGCTTGAAACCTTCAGGTATTTATAATTGGGGTTTTATATAAAACAATTTCAACAAAAAAATGTTGAAATGTATAATGACGAAAAAAGCACTAAAAAAAAGTAAAGGCGCACTGTTAATTTTCTTCATAGTTTCAATAGCAACGTTACGAAAATATTTACAATAAAAAACCAATAAAAATGAAATACACAATGAAAACAGTTTCCCACAAAAGGGAAGACTTACCTTATTCCTATACACTTGACAGAATTAGGAACAACAAAAAGTATGTACCTCATCCCACCAGTTATACGTAACTACCTCTGCTTTCTACTTGTCCACGCAATACCATTGCAAATTAGGAAAAAATTACCTTGCTCCACACAAATCATGGGAGACTACTAAAAGCAAGGAATGCCTGGCTTTTAGTTTAAAGTAACTTGCCACAAATTAATGCAAAACAATTATTAAAAAAATAGATTACCTCATCCCAACCAAGAAGGTGGAATTACAATATATGCGTGATTTTTTTTCTCTTGACCACAAACACAAAAGGTGTGTATCCAGAGGACAAGAGCAAAACACTGCAAAAACATTTATAAAGGTCAAGTTACCTCGTCCCAACCAAAAGCGGTGGAACTACAGACAATGCACAGTTAAAAATTTTTTTCCTGTGTTTTTCTTCTTAGGTCTCCCAATACAAAACCTTGGTATTAAAAAACCAAAAATAAGAACTACCAAAAATATGGAAGTTCATATGGAAGGGTCAAAATTACCTCGTCCCTATCAAAAACGATGGAACTACACAAATTAACAGAAACTACTCATTACACATTCCATACAAAAAAATTGCATGAAATAAAAAATTACCAAAATTACCTCATTCCAGTCAAAAAGTTAAATGGAACTACAAATTGGTTTCACATTCTTCGCGCCCAATAAAAGCAAAAATTATATACAAATGACAAGTATCATTTGTACTTGAGTAATGAAAGTAAACAAACTTCCCCACCATGCATGGCATTGGGTGAAAAATATTTGTACTGTTACATTTCAAATACACATGGAGGTCCCAACAAAGTTTGGGTATCTTCACTAAAGAATTATTTACCTCTGCAAACAAATGCAACAGAAGTTTTAAATTCTACAGATTGAATGGATTCATTAAATAGTAATGAGAATTCAACACAAAGTTGTGTAGAATTAAAAGTGCAATGTCTTTTTTGTTACACCAAACGGATGTAACAAAAAATTTCTTGGAGAAGTTAATTTCACTACTAACATCACAAATGTGTACAGAAATCAAAAAATCTGATACCACACAACTACCTCATTGTGCAAAAACTTGTACAACTACTATTAAATGCTAACATGAAGATTAATTCTCTTAAATTAAATACGTTAATTTATGAGAAATTTTGATGGCACACCAATTTAATTAAATGTTGTGCCAGCAAACAGTACCTCGTTGAATATAACTATATGCAACTACAAATGTGGTCACGATCACAGTTCTAGTTTCGTTTTTTAATACAATTTATCACGTGCTAAAATAGCATAAAACATGTTAAAATACTATAGAGCATGCACAATGTAATAAAATATAATACATTGTAAACGTATGTTAGCTCAAAGATAAGAGTACTAGAAGGCCAACATTATGTATACCATGTAGAGTAAAAGGCACACTATTAAGTAAAATAAATGATATGTCATATTTAACAAGCTTAATTAACAGTGTACCTTTTGTAAATTTTAATATTAAATATAAACTACTAATCCCACTACAACATTAGCATATGTATGGCGAAACTTTTAGGATACAAATAAGAAAAAATTAACAAAATTAAAAAGCGGGTTAATGAACACCGAGACATTCAGTCTCCAATTTTAAAACCAAAATGTAGTAAAACTGACCCTTCCAAACGGGAAACGTTCTACATTTTAGTTTCTACCCGCTCCCCCCTTCCTACCTTTCGAAGTCAGATGCAGTGCTTGTTCACAAATCACAATTTAAATTTGATTGCACTAATTTAAAATTAATCACAGGTTAACTAATCAAACGAGCAACCCCCCTTAAATTTTATAAATTTCCACAAAAACGCCAGTCTCAGTTTCACAAAGAAAAAGAAAACTTATAAACGCACAATTTATCCACACCATCACCACACATTACACAACGTTTCTCACTACCACTTCTTACTTGGGGAGGAGCAAGCTCAAGCCACATATTTATGCTACAAGCAAAGGGCGCTAAGCAAACAAATCTACTTCTACAAAAAAAAAATCAGAGACTGGAGTACAAGGTGGTCAGTTTTGCCTTACATATGTAAATGTTAAAAACCCCCCTCAATTTGCAACAAATGTGTAATTTGCCAGAAAAAAAATGAAACTATGTAATTTAATAGCTTAAACAGTCAATTGTAAACATGAAAAACAAAGTATCCAAATAGGATCAAAATGTTGCCAATCATAAATACAATCGACACCGGTCACTAAAATATACACAGCGACTATGTGAAGTAATAATGGTCATGTATATGGTAGTGCAATGTTTTCGCTAACCAATGGAGAAAACCTGCAATAATTAATATAAGTTGGGAAAAATCGATACAGAAAAAATGTAAATTTATCACACTTTAATTAACAATTGCAGTTTTACAAAAAACTGAGAGCGACTATCACATTTATTGCATAAAGAAAAGGGATTTATATGAAATGGATCGTAAATCCTACCTTGAGAGTCGCGATGTGCACCTACAGCCTCTTGTGCGGCTAAAAATACTTCATCTTGATTTTGATTTCCCATGTGCCATCCTCCAAAACCTGAAATTTTCACAATTAATAACAAAATGGAAGGGTTTATTAATTTTATTGTTGAAGGTTACAGATTTATTAACATCTTTTGTCAAATAATTTAATATTAAGTCGTTTTAAGTAATACTGCAAACTAGTACGTTTAATTCCATAAATCATTGAAGCTTGTGTGACCGTAATGCCATCATTTAATATGGCATCGAGAGCAAATTTTACAGTATTTTTATCGTATTTACGAAAAGGGAGTTGAATTTCCTCAAGCATAGGCTCAAGAGCAAACTGCCTTCGTTTACTGTCTGGTGGAATTGGACAACCACCAAAACTGTGCACATCTAAAAATTATTCCACCAAACAATAATCTTGGCCTATATAACAACAATCACAAGTTAAACACTGTGATAATTGTTACAAAAAAATAATCAAAATAATTACCTTGACTGGATCCTTCGCCGGCGTTGCCATGACTAGGCCCTGCACCATCATTACTCATGTCCAAATTACTAACATCGTCATCATCAAGCGTCAAGTCCTCTATACTATCCTCGTTCATCTCTTCCACATATTCAGCCTTTGGTTCTAGCATCAGTTCAGTATGTGTTTCTAATTTTTCTTTGATTATAGGAACTTGAGGAATCTCCTGTTCATTAGTAGCGGGTAATATCTTATGCCTACTCATAATTTCAGATTTGGTTTCTACAGGTTCAGGCACATCGGCGGTTAATAATTTCATTGAGGAAGAAGCTGGAGGTAATGGAATTGGAATGTTAGGTGTCGGATTACTGTGAGATTCTGATGAATTAGATGCGTCGTGGTGGTTATCTAGATCGTCCGTACTCCTACGACGGACTCTCTTTCTTTTTCTGGGACCAGGTGACAACGATCCCTCTCGTTCGTCGACGCTTCTGTTAGCTCTACGTTGCTCAATGGTTAGGCCTTGTACTCTAGGTAACGTAGAACTCATGGGAGTAGGACTTTTTGCAGGTGGAGGATGTGCCGCTTTACGAGGTTCGGAATCCTTCTTATTATCAGACAGTCCTTTAATTTGTAACGACTCTGCAGCTTTTAATAACGCGCCTAGTTGATCCTGTGATATGTTGACTTCACCTCTGTACATGTAATCCATCATTGCTTTGAGTTCTTGAAACTTTACATCTTTCAAGATAAATATGGGATGTTTGTCGTAGTTCTGGGACAGTAATGACTGCAACAAAAAATACAGATAACACATACTAACCATTAAGAAATATTAATAAAGGTATTATTTAATTTTATTAATAAAAAATCTAATCACTACGAATATTTCCAATGCAACTGATGGAAAATAGAAATATGTAGTCAATTTTCTAAATTGTGCATATTTTTTTTTACAAAACAACCTGTGTTTGGACCATGTGGCCATCAAAATGGTTTCTTTTTTCAAATCGTTCGTATTATTGAAAATTATGCATCTTTTCTAAAATAATAAATACCAAGGTGCTATCCTCCCAAGACCTAACGAAACATCACGCTTTAAAAGTGTGTTCAAAAAATTGCGGCCCTTAAGGGACAGTTAAGTGAAAATGTGCATAGATCATTAGATGGGCTCTTCCATATGAAGCATATTTTATATAAACGATTTTTTAATAACCTCACTAGTTTCCGGAACAATTTACTGTCTCAAGATAAATGGGACACCCTATATAAATTAATTAAATGACATTCAAAAATAAGATTTAAAAAGTGGTAGTCATATTTTAGTTTGTTTAATTTTTTAAGATCTTAAACACACGTCAAATGATTAACAAATTCAAAAACTAATTTGTTTAAATCTTATTTAAATCAAAGAATCAAAATTGAATTATTATGAATACGTATTTTAATGTTCCATTTTTGAACAAAAATTTAATGTTTAATCGTTTTAGATAAAAACATACAGGAGGTTTCATTAAAAAATCAGGTTGGGTCCGACAACTTTTTACCTGACCCCATCATTTTGAAATTTGACAATTTTTTGATTGAGCAAATGTTTTCAAATTTTGATTTCATTACTTTAAGTTTGATCCAACAATTACGCGATATCTATATGTGTCCAAATGGAACACTTTTGTACACTTATTAGTTATTATTGTTAGAAGTCAATGCCTAACTTCAATTTTTTAAAACGCTACAAACTTGTATTCAAAAGGGATAGTAAGTGGTACACATCATTAAATCAAAAGCTAATAAAAAAATGAGTCACGTTGAGGTTGGTCATCTACCTAGCTTTTAATCAGAATCAAACTAAAATATTTTTTATGCGCCAAAACATTGATTTTGTGGTTTTTTTTAATACAATTTTTTGTTGGCTAACCCTGTAGAACCAGTATTCCATATCTTTGGGGCATACGTTCTACGTGAAAACTCACTTTATGATTTAGTTGTGTAGTATAATGAAGCTTAGTCAAATTACTTGAAGCAATTCTAATTAAGTCATTTTAATCACAAGTTGGCAGTTATTGTCTGAATAATTAAACAGAATTGTTGGAAAAAATCAATGTCAACAAAAACAAAACTAAATCATAACCAAACTTGTATGTGTGAAAAATTTAGATGGCTGTCTTCATAACTAAAAGACCAAATTCATTCCAAAGTAAATGTAGCATTCGAATGAATTTAGTTTAGTCGACCCATATAAAGTTGTAACGAATGATCAAAAATGAGTTCCTGTGCTGTCGCCTCTTGGAAGTTCAAGTTAAGTACGTTTTCCCATGTAAACAAAAATTCCAAAGGTGACTCCACAGCAACTCATTTTTGATTGCATCTAACAAAAGCAAAAAAATTATAATTACCTCAAAGTAGGGGCTGCATGCTGAGAGAACAACTTTGTGAGCGTTGAGGTATTTGCCTTCGGCGGCCAAGGTACAATCGACTAAAGTCCCATTTTCTAAGAGAGTATCGAATACTGCTACCAAGGTGGATTGATGATTGTTCCATCGTAAACAAAATTGTTGATCGTCCTCCATCGTTTACACCTGGCAATAAAAAAAGAATTAGCTATAGGCAAACAGTCCTCAATCAATACCAAATCCCCGGGCAAAACAAAATGGCTGACCCTAAACCGAAGGGAAGCGCATCAACCCCCTTTTTTAACGGCTATTGATCGGATGGCTTGTAAATGTTTTTCAAATTTATTTTGTTAATTAAAAGAGAAAAACGCAAAAAAGTATACGTGGCCCGGTTCAAAGAACCGTTATGCACCTGAAGAAGGCAAGACGCAAAGGTGGGGAGGGAAAGCCAAGCGCGACACGGCATCATGGCCGCTTTTCCAAGCTAGAAAATTTCAACGGCTTGCCAGTTCAGGATTTACTCATTTACGAAATAGGAATATAAATTAAGGCAATTGCAAAGTAAATGTAAATAAATATGACCTGGAAAGCTCAAAATAAACAAGGAAAGCTCGCTGCGTCCCCCGCCAAGTCCGCACCCAAAAATCAATGTTGCTGTAGAAATTACAATTTTGTAGTTAAAAACTGAAAAATTGTTGAATTGAAAGTAATTAATGAAAAATTATTACCTTTTTGGCACTATTTTAACTAATTATCACAATATTGTCACTTAAATATAAAATATTATTGGACGACGTGTACAATGCTTGCCTTCGGTGTAAGAACTTCTAACTGAAAGCACAGGGAAAGCTCCGGCGAATTCGACGGCTGCACAAAACGGAACCAACGAAACACGAGAGTCTGCACCCAATGCGCCTTCGACGCTATCCCGTACCGACGCGCACAAACGCGGCAGATGTATGTGGATCCGACCAATACGATAAAGCGTTACGCACTCCCGGAGTAGGGACCTAAGCGTCGGTCGCGACATTTGCGTTGGGTCCGGTTCGGTTTTTCTACTCGGCTATATAGAAGTGGATAAAAGAGAGAGAGGATGGTGAAAACTTAAAAAGAGAGAGGCGGTGATGAAAGGAGCGAACGAATTTGATCCACAACAAAATAGTGACCCTGTCTTTTCTAATCGTACTCGTACAGTCTGTTTTCCACTGTGTCTTGCTTCTCGTGTTTGTGGATAGTTTTTTTGCATGATTTTTGTGATCTGAATAACTTATTCTACGGTGGTAAGATGCTAGCTTTTAAAAAGAAACTCCCTCAAATTGCATAAACCCAATTTATTATTGCGGAAACCAATTTGTCCTAGTTCTTAGCTTTCTCTCGTTTCTCATACATTTCTTTCAAATCACTCTTATAATTATGCTTATGACATTTTCCTAATGCAAGTCCGTTTCTGCTACTTTGAAGCTTTTCTCTATAGGGAATTAGGCCATGTCTTATGTATCCCGAAATCAACCAAATAATTTTGAATTACAAAATCTGGCGCTTTGAATCCCCACGCACTACACTCATGCGTAACTCCTCTAACGGAAATGTGCGTAAGCTGCATCATTTATGTATTTATATCATAAATTAATGTCTACGACTCGAGTAGTTTAATTCAAGCAGTCATTACGCCAACGCATGGGCATAATTAACATGGAAATATCACCGTATTACCAAAAATGTTACTTTTGCAGAATGGAGGTAGTAATAAAAATAGGATTTTGGAACGTTGGAGACGTAGGTACCTATCAATTTATTGTTTTCATTGGAAAATCGTGCGAACACATCATTTGTTTTATATTTTATAATTGGGTATTTTTTTCATTCTCACTATAAGATCTCGTAAACCGTAAGAGATACTCCCTCGGTACTGCGCAAACGCAAGTGCGCCTAAATTTGAATGTGCGTAAAATTGTCTAGTTATAGGTGTAAATAATAAACATAACCTGCAAATGTTATAATTATTGAAGATAATTTAGCTTACCTCATACCTGCTTACCTATTGTAAGTAGGTGTAGTAGGTATGTTATGTTAATGCCATGTTATCAAGATGAATTTTGTTGTTATCTACATTTCAAGTACATGGCTATGAATTCCTCCAGGAATTCCTAGAATATGCCAAAGGCGATAGGAAGAAACTGTTTCGGTAAGTACTGTGACAGTTAATTAGAAATAGTTAATGAAATCTACTTACAGCAATAACTTTACAGACCAATATTGACCTAGGGTAGAGTGAGAGTTGGGTGCTGAACGAATCACAAAAAACCAGACTACAAGCTACAGAAATTAAGTAGGTACTTGCGAAGGGTAAGGGGAGTTGATGGAATTCCTAGTAAGAAGATAAAAAAAGAAGTGGATGCTCTGATAGAGACCTTTGATAGACAAAAATTAAAACGCTTATTTGGACACCTTGGACGAATGGAAAACAGTCGGCTTTCGAAACACATAATGGAACACCGGAATTTAAAATAGGGGAAGCATAAAGACAACATAGGATATGTACCTAAGTAGCAAGAATACTTCAAGATCAAGGCATAGAATGGGAGGAGGCTAAAGGCGTCTTTAGACTAGAAAGAAAACTCGCACGATACTGTCGGACACTACTGTCTTAAGTGTTGCGAGTCCATTTGACAGAACAGTCTAAACAGGCAAAAGTACAGCTCGCCAAGTTAAAGTTAAAACTACAGCCGCGGCAACACAAAGATGTCCTATTGGCGCCATAACGTGAGATAATTTCTCAAAAACAGCTGCTAGGTATCAACCATGGTGTATAATGGTATCAACTGACAGCATTTGCGGAAGCTAAAAGTGCTGCTAGTGTAAACAGGTTTGTGAGAACTTGCGACAGAAATGGCTCACCCAACTTGCCCGACAGTTTATCGCGACACTTATTGCTCACAGGTTAAATACATGTGGAAGTTTCTCCCGCGAGATTGTCGCAAGTAACTTGCTAGTCTATCTGCGCCTTAAGAAGTTAACGCGAGATAGGAAAAAAATGGAGCACAATAGTTTATAGCTTGGTTTATAGTGACTTATCTGGTAGAATATGTTAATTTACACCATGATTATAGAAGGGTTTTGATTATAATAAATAACGTTACAATTCTTGTTGTTTATTCCATATTATGCTGTAAAGGATCATGACGGTTGCTTTCAAGTTGGGGCTATAATGTAACTGGAATACACAGTGATGACGGAAGGCTTTATTAATTCGAGCACGTTAAAGCAAATTCCAATTTAAGCGCGCTTGCGTTTGCGCAGTACCGTGGGAGTCAGTGTACAACACATCTGCAAGTGCACAGAGACCACAGAATACGGCCTTCTCAGAATAGAAACAGCAATGTTACAAATTTGTATGGTATTTTGGCGGACCCTGGTGGGTGCACTGTGAACTAAAGCATCAAAATCAGAGTAGCGCCATCTGGTGACCAGCTTCTAAAGTCATGAAGTAATTTCCCCAATTCGATCTAAATCATAAATATCAATAAAAAATACACAGCTGTTAAATTAAAGTGTATTTAGATACAATCACATTACATTATTTAACACAGAGAACTTAAATTACATGTTTACAAGTTACATAAAACTCAGAAGTGAGTGGAACTTACGCTTTGTAGATGTTAACACTTTGCAGAAAGATCCTTACATAACGATTTGTCGTACGAAATATTTGGTTTTAATTGCTGTTTGAACTACATATTTTTGTTAAAAAATATCTTTAGAACTAAATTTTTTGTTCCAAGAGGTAATAAAACCGTTTCAGCAAATTGTCACACAAGTTTTTGACAACAAATGTTAACTTGATCCTGGTGCTTACTTGTTACTTGAGAAGCGAGGGTGGAAGTGAAACGTATTTTTTATTCATTGTCTAAAAGGAATTACAATATAAGTATCTACGTCTATATACTTAAATATAAAACTCAAGTCTACACCCTTTTGCGCCTCTACAGTTGGTAATTTATAAATTCCATACCTTGCATAAATAGGAGAGAAATAACAGCACATTTCAACCCTCTTCGCGTTTCAAGCACAAAACAATCTGTTTCAAAACATGGGAAACCATGCCTTTTTGATATTTTATCGTTACAATCCGCCATACAACACTTTTACGGTCACATAACTTGTTCATATTTTAAATCTTTCAAAAGTCAATATTGACATGTGTTAAACCATGTGTACGTATAAAATCGACGATAAAAATATTTCCTGTAACGAGCAAAATTACAGGTTTTGCAAAAAAAATATTTGAGTCTGCGATAAATAGTTCTCCGTACAACCACGGGAAACGCTGTAATCAGTGACAATTTAGCGCCATTTATGTTTCTGTTCTGTCACCCGCACTGCTGCGCATGCGAGATTCTGCCCTTTTATGCCCATGAATATGTGTACCAAATTTGGTTCCAATCCTTCCAGCCGTTTAGTCGGAAATGAGTGTACAGACAGACCGACATCATCGAGATTTTGTTTGATTCGGATTCCTGGTCCTCCAAAACGTGTATTTCCGTAAAAAACAGAGGGGGGGGGGACATTTTTACCCCAATGCAATACCTCTCTTACTAACTAAACGGCCCGAGCGATTTCGGTGTCGCCGGCGGCTGAGGAGGGGGTTGAGAGTACAGTTTTGCGGGTTTTCGCCTATATTTCGAAAAAGGTGCGTCGTAGGAAAAAATTTCTTATCAAAATCGAATGCCCATTTGCTACAACTTTGTTTCATTTTAGAGCACCGGATTCTTGAAGGTGAGCACTTTTCATAAAGGTCGCGTTTTCGGTCGAACCTAGTGGTATTATGAAGTTGTAGGGAATTAAATTTCCTTCAAGAACCACTGCACATTTGTTAATTGATCTTCAACCCTTCAAAAATTAGGCAATTTTGAAAATAATTTTGGTCAAATGACCACCGCGGTTGACTTGGCAATAGCCCATTCGATCCACCCAATTTCTGAGTACATCTTCGATTGTTTCGGGTCTTATCTTAGCAATAGCAGCTCGGGTTTGAGGACTTGAGTTGTTTCTGGATTGTTGGCGTAACACTTATCTTTCATCCCTCCCAAAGATAGGCAATAGTTCAATGGCATCAAATCTCAGCTTTTTTTTCTAATCTTTTTTTCAAATTTCGCACAGTTTGAGTAGAAGACTCACCATTTTGGAAATAAGTTTTTAATATTTCACAACTTTCTTCAAGCGTATAGCGTCCCATTTCGTAAATGTCAGAGTTTTTACTAAATATTTGTCACTTCCCGAATGACATTTGACTTTTGGAAGTTAAGTAATCGGTAGTTCAAATTCCAAACACTAGATGGACCACCCGTTACTTATGGCTACAGTGACTTTATAAGGACAGTGGCGACAACTTATCATAATCCGCCATATTGGAGCTAAAAAATTGATTGTAAGATCAATATACCTTGTCATGTCAAATTGTGAGCGTAGAATAATAAATGTCAGTTTCATTTAAGTAAAGATTCTTGTTCAAAACGAACGGCGCAGAAATGATCGTTTAAAGCTTTGCAGAACAACCTATGGGAAAACAAATGCCTCCCAAATTCAAAAAGGTATGGGTATATGGAAAACAGTATAATAAGTATGAAATATGGTGCAATATCCAAAATGTACATATAAATAATCATTAAATTGTGTTTGACATTTCAGTGTCTTCTGTCACTTCTTGTCCCCTGTCGCGTGTTGCTCCTTCCGGACTTAAAAGTATTTCTTTAGTCTCTTAAATGGAAGACAAAACACGTTGATCTAGTCCACGGAGTACAAGAGATCAATATTCCATGTGCTCCAGCAAACATGAAACCAATTCAAACGTATTTACGATCACAAATGAATTTGCTGCTAAATTTCGGATAAGCTGCTTCTCTAACCAGTTTTCTATCTAAACTCATTAGGTATTTAGGGCTCCTGAAAAAAAATTTACATCAATTACCAGTCGTAAGGTTAGGCACAGTTTTACATCTAAAAACACTAAGCGAATTACATACCTTATAATATCGTAATAAATCCAAACTATATGCGTCTTTAAAAATCGAGTTTATATAAAACTGGAGACGGAAAACGTAAAATAAAGCAAATACAAGAAGCAAAGTGTAAACTAGTAACATGAAGCCGTGACAATTACAGGTGACACTGTCAAAACAGTATAATTAATAATTATAGCACGGAGTGCACCGCGTCGTTTTGAAGGCTTTCTATTGGCCAGTTTGGAATTTAGCTCCAATATGGCGACCGGAACCAACGACCAATCAAAAACGAGATACCCTGTTGTCGCCACTGTCTCTATAAAGTCACTGTACTTATGGCCCTTTAAACAATGCTTAAACTTTATAAATCAGAGACTTGCTATAACTAGACTGCGCTTAACGTATCTAAGGTGTGGTCGACACAGTATACAACACACAATGCACAGCGGGGAAAAATTGCAGAGATTATGTGCAATACAATGAAATAAGCTGTTATTTTAGAAGTTCCGTTCATGAATCATTCTCGTGATTCGTTCGAATTGGTAAACAGATAAATTTCTGTTGAGAATAACCCAATAAACTTAGGTTAACTCGTGTGTATCAACATGTACTCTGTCGATAAAATTTTAAATAATATGCAGATTTTCAACGGATAAAAGTTTAAAGGGCCAATGGATCAGAGCCATTTGAAGAGAAAAATTTACTCCTATCATAGTGCATCAGCTGGGAATGAAGTCGATTTGCTAAGAAAGGTTCCGACGAAGGTGTTAAACAATAATGCAATACCGAGCGTTTTCGACTTTACCATTCACTTAAAATACCGTAGAACTATTATTCGACATCCTTTACCAGCTAGGTAACGGCAAAATGTATTTGCCTATTATAGACGTAATTAGGTACTGGTACTAAGTATGTTTCAGGTTTTTGTACAAGAAAAATAGTTAAGTCTGTTAAATGTTCCATATGTGCAGATGCGATATTCGCATCAGAGAGTCATTCAAAGCTTTTACCTAGAAAAAATCGTGGAGGATTGTTGCACGTATCAAGTGATGCATTAAAAATTTGCCAAATTGCTGAAAATGTGTTCAGGTTTTTCATTCAATCCACACCACACTGCGTTGTAAACAAAATGTTCATCAGCAGCCTAAGAAGAATAAATAACACACAGCCCATTTGGGTCTTTGGATAGGCATATATTGAATCAAAGTCCGCTAAATAATTATATCTTACTACTTACATCTTTAGTTTTAAGAGTACGACGTGTTCACCACCAAAATACCCGGTGCGCCTTACAGAATATAAAAGTGTAAATGAATTCTCGTCTTTCTGATGGTGTTAAAGTAAAATTTGTACCTATGAGTTGTGGGGTTTCGCGCAAATCTCGTTAACTTTCTTATTTCTTATGGCGCCATATTGAATTTTTCCACCATTCGATAGAGAAAAAAACGGTTTAGGACACTTAGATACTAATTCCTTAAAATCTGCTGAGTTTGAATTAAAATTGATATGTTCATCACTTCGCTGAAACCATAGAAGATCGTCAAATTAGAGAAAACATTAGCCATTAAATCATGCTTAAAAAAACTGAAAATTCCGATTACTTCCGAAGGTATGCAAGAAAAACCGAAATTTGCCGATTCCCTTTTTATTGTTTTCTGATGTTATTTGAACTCGATTTGATTAGATCCAAAAATAAAAAAAACACTATCGCATTGCCACTTTTTTAGCTCTACAAGACACCGTTGAGAGATGTTCAATACAACGTTTCGTTTCGGAGAAATCATAATCAACTTTCTTTTTTATATGGCCCGTAAAAAATTTCATAAATATCATCAGGCCTAGCGTCAGAAGAGATAAAATGAGGAAAACAATTCACTTCACGTTCATTGTTTCCCTCATTTTATATCTTATGACGCAAGGCCTGATGATGACAAATAATAGCCGAAATCGATAGCCAAAAAGAACTTTTAATATAAACGTTCTCACCATTTTTTATTTAATAAATTACAACGTAACGTTTCCATGGAGACATTCATCTTAAAGGCAAGCGATTAGTATATAGTTTTAATACTATTTTGGCTTCAGATATTTTTAAAACTCCTAATTTTGTAGAGTATACAGTTATACATACCTACTTCATCTTTCACATCACGCGTTTTTCATATTCGTATACATGTTACCAGTAATGCAACTATAGGTATTTGCACAAAAATCATAGTACATTTAGATAAATGCAATAGTATAAATTTATAAAAAATGCAAATTTTGGAAAGTAATGCCATTTATTAAGCTTTTCGACATAATCGACTAAATAGATGTATTAATTATCTAACAAATTATGATGTAGCCAGTTCAAATAATAGTACATATCACTAATGTTTTCAAAATTTTGTGTTGTGCATGGGCAATGCCAACTTTACAACAAAACTGGGTAGAAAAATTAGCATGTAAAGTCCTATGGCCTGTAGGTAGGTATATCAATAACTACCGTAAAGAAATTTTTTTCAAAAAGTATCCTAACTTATGTTATAACTTGATATTATACGTGATAAAAGAAGATATCTTACAATTGACAATGTATTTATGGGTACTTCTATTTTAACTAGTCATAGTAGGTACAAGTTATGTGAAACTGAGGTAATAGACTTCGACAATATAGGCGAAAGAGAATGGGGCAAGGATCTCGTATCTATACCGGTATTTTTCCGGTCCTAGCAAAGCATTAATAATATTCTTAGGAGGAAAATACACTTTCGTCATTTATAAGTTTGCATAATGACTTTTTAACTTGTTAACTTCGTGCACATTATACTATACATTACAGCGGTTTTACTGTTAAGCATTCGGATTGCTTTTCATTTTACAACTTCGCATATAAACTAATAAAATGATCAGTCGTATGTTGTCATTCGTTTTCAACATTGGTTAATAACGTTTGTGAATCTGTTTTGATAGAAGGTAAGTCACAAAATCATATTTTATGCGTCGTTCCTAAGCAGATGAAGAAACCATTGTATTGCCCAAAAGTTGCATAGGTGGCCGTTAAAGCTTCCCAACTGAATATACATCTCAGACATGCATAAAATACAACACGGAAACCCAAGTATGAACAGGCACAATCAATCATAATGCAGGCAAATAAAGGATTAACTAATAGGGAAATGTCAAAAGTGGACGAACATTTTTTGCGTTTTGCGTTAAAAATCCGTTGCATTTATTTGACCATTCCGTCGTAAACTGATAAATCTTAATGTTACCACCATAAACTAATTTTAGTGATGCACATAAACTCAAAGAGATTAACCTTTATCATAATAGAGAATAATAATTATAAAATTCAAATCTTTTATTAGGCAACGCCCGATCTTAAATGTCCGGACGGGCGGACGGAATTCATATAGGTATTAAATGTATTTTTGAAAAATACTTCGGTGTATACTCAAATTGTGGAGACCGATAATATTCACCTACGGCGTTCATCGCAATATGTTTGACCAATCTAGTTGTTCGCCCCACAGTTGTCCCTTCTGGAAATTTGCTCCTGTATATATCAAGCTTATTCTTAAGATTTTTTTCCGTAAAATTCCTTCCATAACCCCCAATCACTGGTTCTCGAAATATCCCCCCCCCCCCCCCCCCCCCCCAAACAGATTAACCAACCAACCAAAAATTCGCTCAGAAAAGCTCGCCTCTCATCACTTCGGTAAAACTACGGCATAAAGACAATTGCTTTATTTCTTGAAATAATTGCTGCTTAAAGTGTATTTCCTAGGGTAAATTTACCTGAGAATGAGTTTCTTGCAACTGGATATTCCGGCGAGTGTTTAAAATTTCTAATTAAAACTTCTGTGCGTACAAACCACACCGCCCCCTTCTTCATGAGGGCTTTATCTTTCAGTTTGGGAGCGCACAGAAACCTTAAAGTCAGCGCTGTTTGTTAAGTTATGATAACATTAATACGAATATGTACATATTCTGGTTTGAGGGTAGAAATGTGTAACTGAAAATTAGGTGTCCTTTTTCTTTTTTAAAGTTATTTGTTGCTTGTAATTTATAGAAAAATAAAAGTTAAGAATTATTATTTCGATAGCCTGTATTATGAACTGTTCCCGTAGTATAAAATGATTGGGAAAAGTGATAATACCTACTCGTCATAATAATAAGGTTTGTTTGTACTTTCACAGATTGTGATTTGTGTGTAAGATTGACATCTATCGTGTCTTAATTAGTTGTTGATTGTGTATTAGAATGCATAAATTACGAATTTCCAACTCCAGATTTAAAAAAATGCGTGCGAGGGGAGGGCCGAAAGAATAAACATCTTTTCCAAGTAAAACAAGTGTTCGTTTGGAAGCTATGTCCACAAAAGTTCATTTCTTCTTTAATTTCTTTTTCGGAAAAATAGAACTAATGGATTGGACTCCGGTTTTGAAACAAAAATTTCAACTCAACCAGGTAACAAAATATCTCTTTTGTAAGTAAAAAATTGTGTAGCCATTTTTGCATTAGATTTTTTAAATGTTATGCTCTTTTTGCCGACAAAGTGACCTGCAAGTTTTAAAAATTAATGATAGATTTGGTACGTACACAACTCTGTTTATGGGTGCTCCATCTTGGGGTAAGAATTCGGGTGAATGAAAATTAGGAGACCTTTGAGAACGGAGCTTCCAAATAAAGAAAACTCAATTTCCATCCACCCGTGGAGTATATTTTACGAGAATTAATAAAATATTTGATGATCGACATACATTAGCCCATTTCTACCTAAATAGGAAAGAATTTGGTTTTTTTATAATACCTACGCAGAATGGTGTGGTGTTTACGATTAATGTTGTGTTTTTTCCTCTTCAGGACGGATTAATCAGTTTCCCATTTTATGAACGCAACGAATTAGGTACCTACTACGAAACATTTAATATAACGGCAATTTTGAATCTTCTACCATTAAGTTAAAATTTAATTATCCTTTGTGAAAAGCTATTGTTTTATACTTTTATGTTTATTAATTTGATTGCATCTCTCCCAACATTGTCTACAATTTCGAACTTACATACACGATATAAAAATAATACGATAGAATTTCTGACAACCATAACATTTAATGTTTGTTATAGGAATCATGTCTGGACAACATTATTGTCTGAGGTGGAACAATTACCAAAGTAATATGACCTCCGTATTCCACCAGCTTTTACAAAACGAAGCATTCGTGGATGTTACATTAGCTTGTAAGGACTTATCTCTAAAAGCACATAAAGTAAACCGTTATACCCTATTGTTCCGAAAGATAAACTGATTCAACTTTCAGGTGGTTCTTTCTGCATGTTCCTCATACTTTCAAAAACTGTTGTTAGAAAATCCCTGCAAACACCCAACGATTATAATGCCGCAAGATGTGTGCTACGACGATCTCAAATTTATCATCGAATTCGTATACAAAGGAGAAATCGACGTTTCTCAAGCAGAATTACAGGTACGTTAAAAGAGATACGTTTCACTTTTCCTTAGCATTCGTTCTTAGTATGTAGAAATGCATTGTTTTTTTTTAATGGGAACACGGTTGTTCTGTGAATATTGTGAATGTACGCTTCCATGAAAGTTACGCAATCTTAATAAGTTTTTAATTATTATGGAAAGTGGAATTATAGGTGGCGCTGCATAAATTTGGTTTGTTCAATCAATACCCACTTACTGTTTACAAAACAACCGCCTGTCTGATTTTATATTACCCCTTTTTGGTTTGTCTCTTGGGTTGAAGATGCCTACCGCGATTCCGCTTTTGACAATTGTATTGATTTCGGTATTTTCTGTATTAGGCATAGCTAACAAGAATCAATCATAATTATTTTTAAGTATAAGGTACAACTGTGATTCACCCGAGTTAATTAAGTATCTAATAGGTTATTCTTTTTGTGTTTTCTTTATTTCAAGTATTATACGGTTTTAAATTTTTAGGTAGATTGCTCACTAAGCGACGAGTTTCTCTAAGAATCTAAGATACTCGGAATCTAAGATACTTTTTGAAGGTATCTAGAATATTTTCAATCTAAAATCATGGATAGTTTCTATTCTAGTTTAGTAGATATTTACTCAATATGAAGTTGATGTTTGGTCGAAGTACGGGCATCGGCTGAAATACTCCTCACATTCTTTAACAATAAAATGAAAAATCATTTTTTCGCGGATTTTATGTACAGATCAGCAGACCTATATTTGGCTCTTTTGTTAACACACTATGTAGCCCTTTGGACGATTTACCCTAAAAAATTCATAGTGCTTTTCCCATTGAACCCTTTAAGGCTTTAACTTACTATTTTATGAGATTCCCATACTATTTAATCATCAAAAGGAGCTATAAAAATTCGCTTCTCTCATATGTCTTATTGGTCCATATTTGTGTTTTACATAGGATGAAGGCAAGACGTGCATTATATCATATTTGTATTTTTTATGACATTATTGATTCCAGAATGTGATTAGACCGTAACTTTGCGTAACCCTTAATTGTAAAAAGTGTAACAGGAACAACTCTTCTGAGGAAGGCAGTAACGCAGCAATTACAAGGCGAGGAGGAAACACGTGTAGGGACTGAGGGGTTGAAATAAAATGACTAGAATAAAAATCAATCGTATCCTTGTTTTAAGCGAATGTTTTCTGAACAGGTAATATATTGGCGCCTACAGGAAGTTGACGTCGCTTAAAGAATTGGTATCATCGGTTAAAATCGTTATTCTATGTTGGCATTTTTATGGAAGTTTTTCTTATTTCTCACCGGAAAAAGTTCGTTGAGCTTGATGCTCTAGTCACGTCTTTTAGGCGGTTTTCACTTTTTCGAATAGGTTGCGGAAAGCTTTCGTTTTTCATTGCATATCCACCTTAAATTATTATTGTTTTTCGTAAGTAATTGCGTTGTACGATCGATCGTTAGAACTTTAAATAAACTAGTCTTGACATAATTCCCTAAATAAAGTTTTTGTAATTACGTCTAATGAATGTTTTCTTGCTATAGATATGTATATGATTGATTATAAAAATTAACACACGAAATAGATGATCAAAAAATAACAATTCTATGCTTAAACACTCCAATTAAAACCGATGTAGTTGTGCGTGCGCCGAGCATTTCTCGATCTATCGCTGTTCACAGCATCCCTCTAGTAGGCTCGGGAAAGGGTCCAGTCTTACTTCACGCGTTCCACAGAATTCAGTGCTAAAGGTCGTAGGGGTCACTCTGTAAGTACAATTATAGTGCATGTGCAACGCTGCCTGCTTGCACTTTCAAGTTCTATTCAAGTCTGCGAGGGTTTCAAATAAAGTGGCGCATACGTTCAACGTTTGGAGCGCAACCAGAGAGCAGGACTATTAACGTCTTTGTTTTGTTCGTTATATCCATCCGTTTTTGCTTCCTCCGTCTGTCCTTCAACTTTACTTATTCAATAAAAGTTTGAATTGGGTTAATAAGCTTTGTGACACGAAGCAGGTTTTAAGTGTATTAATTAAGAGTTTCTGCCCTTCAAATTTTCCAGTTTTTTTGTGGCGTATACATTTCTGTTTTCATATTTCTTCGTTTATCACATTTATTTAATATTCTCTACGTAATGAATCTAAAATTCTTATATAGTAATCCGTTGCGTATTCCGTTTTGCAATGCCCGGTATAATCTGGGGGTTGCTTGGTGAGCGGCTCCAGGGCACGCACTGGGGGAAAGTGATGCGGCGTCTGGACCAATCAATACTGGTTCAAGGACGCTCTCGTTGAACTTGCAAGAAATAAATGTAATTCATTACTTATCTACGTAATTTTGTATTACCACCTATACGTACACGGATGTATTCCTTTTACCCAGTATTTACTTTTCAGTCCCTCCTAAAAACAGCAGACCAACTGAAAATTAAGGGCCTCTGCGAATCTGAAGATAAGGAGAGTTCAGCTTTACCTCTTTTTATACCTAGAAGTTTTCCAAAAATTACTAAGGTACCTTCTCCAATAAACTACAGGCATTTAGATAATAACAAGAGGCATAGTATTCAAGAATTTGATGCAAGTAATTTCTCAGATAGGAACGAAAATGTTAAGGGATCTATGCTAGAGGAACATGGTTCTGATTATGATAGTGATGCTCCTTTAGTTGTTGATGAGGGACCAAAACGGAAAAAATTGACGCAATCGCATTCAACACCTATTAACATGAGCAGTCATGGCCTGTTGGCAGGGCAGGTGAGTATTTATTTTACTAACACATACTAATTCTACTAACAATCTGCAACCTCGATAATATCTAGGCTCTGTTCTCCCAGCTGTGCGAAAATGATGAATTTCCGCCCGAACCTCCAGCTCCCAGCGCCACCCCAGTTGGTCACGTGGACCTCCAGGAACATTCACCAACACGTAATTTATTACAATCATCACATCGAACAGATTTATCAGGTTTGCTGAGCACGACGATCAACTAAAATCATTCGCTACTGTACCCGTAGATGTTCACATAAAGTATGAAGATATTAAAAAAGAAACAACAATCAAGTTTGAAACGTTGCGATCTTTCGATCATGATTCTGTTATGGATATGGACGCTTCTCATATATCTGGACCGGATCACTCTATGGAAAGTCACGAAGATGCAGAAAGAGCAATGCATTCAATGATGGTCACGCCAGAACTAATGGGTATTATGCCAGGAGTATCAGGGCGGTTAGGTTGGTTTTCGTTTGTAATAAGTATAAATACCTTCACATTTTTCTCTTTAGATCTATCAAACGGTGATAATCACCATAAAACTAATGGACATTCTGACCTTTTGACTAGTAGATCACATGGCGGGGGGCCTAAAACGTGGACACAAGAAGATATGGAATTAGCTTTAGATGCCTTAAGAAATCATAACATGAGCCTAACAAAAGCTTCTGCGACATATGGAATTCCCTCCACTACACTTTGGCAAAGAGCACATCGATTAGGCATAGATACTCCTAAAAAAGAGGGTCCTACTAAGTCTTGGACCGAAGAAAATCTAAACTCCGCACTGGAGGCCTTAAGAACTGGTACAATATCAGCAAATAAAGCTAGTAAAGCGTACGGTAAAGTTTCGTCTTCCATTAGCCCAATATTTGTTGACAAAATCATCTTCTAGGTATTCCAAGTAGCACATTGTATAAAATAGCTCGTAGGGAAGGAATTAAATTAGCCGCTCCTTTTAATGCCGCACCTACAACGTGGTCACCTGAAGATTTAGAGAAAGCGTTAGAATCTATTAGATCTGGTCAATCATCAGTTCAAAAGGCCTCGACCGAATTTGGAATACCAACCGGTACACTATATGGAAGATGTAAAAGGGAAGGAATTGAATTATCACGATCAAATCCTACACCTTGGTCTGAAGATGCGATGGGAGAAGCATTAGAAGCTGTCAGGTAAACATTAATCTTTGTTTTATTCTATTGATCACCATGAGTAGTACAAAATCATCTTAAGTTGTATTTTTGCTCTCTGAAACGTAGGTAGTGTAAATAATATTAGCTGTAACGTTTTAAATGAAAACGTAATACAGCTGTGAATTTTGGTATTTTATGTCAACAAAATTTTCCTGTGGATTTCGAGATGTAGAGGTGGGATTTTATTCGTTTTGTTACTTAACGTCATACACTCAGACTTGTTCGTCCGTCTGGTTAAGTGTGGTGGTGCTCACAGCAATATCGTAGATACCTCTGCAAAGTTTCATTTGGAAGTATTATTTAGGAAAATGTGGCGTGCCATTTTTTGCGGTGGAGAAAACGGAAGTGGGAAGTTGTAAAACAGAAGACGGTTCACTTAATAGGCAGATGTTAGCCAGGATTTTGATAATTAACCGAAAAGCTTTTTGAAGGGCTTGCCAATGAAAAGTATCACACATCAGTGTTATCATTTAACATTATTAGTTGGTATATGGGGCCCATGAGGTTCTCTCACATATTTAACATTTCGTTTCCCATATATTCCCAACGACTACATTTAAATTGACATAGTTTGTGCTTTCCGTGCACTAATGTACTGTCATTTTCTGTTGTTATAGACTTGGGCACATGTCGATAAACCAAGCTGCTATTCACTACAACTTACCTTATTCTTCGCTGTATGGTAGATTTAAAAGAGGAATAAAATATGAATCGGAGAATATAGACTCAAATAATTCAGATAGTCAATCACATTCAGATTCTCAAATACTTGTGATGGATTACCCAAATTCTCACCAACAAATTCAATACCAACATCATGCAAGCAGCTGAGAATCGTTTTATTAATAGATAGGTACTTTGTAAATATTGTTACTAGTTGAATGTCAAAATTTAAATATAGCATAATCTGTACATATTATATTTTAGGATAGCAACTTTTAATTGAGAAATTTTTACTATTGTTCATGATAGTTTTCAAGAACTGAAACGGAGCAAGCGAAGTACAAGATTGATATTGTTTTTGGTCAAATTGTAGGAAGCTTCAGGTTGTATGATAAAAAATGTAAAATATTAGTGATTGTATTATAGACTATATTACAGTGCAATATAAAATTACGATTTTTTACGTTTGTATAGTTGTTGGCAGGAGTTATATTTAAATGTACATCATTTAATTAGAATTTAAGACTGTATTATTGTACGCCATCCTTTGTATGAAACATCATTATTTTTATTAAGAAATTTATAGTACAAAATATCATACCTACACATGATTCTGTTGTTTTAGTCATTAATCGATAAGTAATAATATGTTATATATATAGAGAGAGCGCTATATTTTTAGACTTACATGTCAAATATCTACCTGATTCTTTTTATTCAATCCATTGCAGTTGTTTCATTTAAAAAAATGACTTTCCGGTTTTTACAATCGTTAAAGTAAATTGTTATAAAAAATTATATTTACTTGCCTTAATTCTTATAAGATTGTTCCTTCTACAATCCTACCAAAGTTGCGCAATATTTATGTTAACATTCAATGAATTATGTTAGCGGGAGGCATAGTAAGGTTTTTATTTGAACCTAACATTTTGAGATCATGGAAGAATTAACCACTTCTGAAGTTTTCTTGGAGTTTGAAAGCAAGGAATTTTCGTTTTGCGTTAAATCCGTTTTGAATTAAAATTCAGAAGCAGATTTATTTCCGGGCAGTGATTTTTATTTCGTGGTTGCCTCGTTTTTTTTCAGTGGTAGATTTTACCGGTTTCATACGTCCCTTTTGAGCTTTGAGGGTGGATATAAAAAAAACAATCGCCAACCCGCCAACGTAATGCGCATAATTAACAGAGTGTATAGTATAATTAGCAACACTGTTATTTATGGAACAATTTCTACACCTAAACGCATTTCATCAATACGCACATAGTGAATTACATGCATTTTCATTTGTTTATGATAATTCATGCCAGATCCTCAAATAGGAAAAAACGAAACAGTTCCTGGAAGTGCATATTAGATTTTTGGTGATTTTTTTTGTTTCCGATAAGTAAAAGAAAGTCTTTCTTTGCAAGGTATTTTTATCTAATTTTTAGTTAAGGCACAAGAATGAAGCTTAGTGGACAGAAGCAATATGCCACATTGTATAAAAACTGCAGTGAAATAAATGGTTTATTATAACTTTCGGCTTCCTTTATAGCTTATAAATACTGTAAACGACACAATGGTGTTTTATATAAAACTACACAACAGCAAATGTAACACCTTAACAAGCATATAATTTCAGTCAGATCTCTGGACCCTACCCAAAATAGTTTTAAGCGTTTTTCTTGTAATAAATCACAAAATTACAATAGGTACTCGCAGGTACTTTACCTACCCTATTTTACACAATAAAACAAAGAAACTTAGTTTTCTAATCCCATACATATAGATACCTACACTCATAGCAGGTTTTAGAAAAGTTTTAAAGTGTATAGCTATAAGTTGTGTATTCATTTTACAGAGACATTGCAAAGATATTGAAAAACACTAAACGACTGGGAAATTTCTAAATATACTACTTGTTGGTCAGGAGCCTGGAGTATGAAATAAAGTGCACAAAAATATTAAAATGGAATTGGAATAGGTCGAATTCGTTAGTATAATGCCCCGTTTTAAAATAGCTTATCCTATGTCTCATACAAGTGTCATATACCTACATTTATAAAAGTGGTTATACTTATATATATGTATATAAACAATCAATTTCATTCAATTTTGCCACGCTTGTCTACACTATGACAGCGAAAGAAGAAATGTGAGGCCAAAGTACGATTTGAATCCTTTTGTAGTTTCCAGTTGTAATCTCTGCTAATTTCTGTAGCTGTGTTTTTGTCAAAATTGAATAAAATTGTGTACACTCCTTGAGAGTTAGGTAACTACTTTTTATCATCTTAAAAAACTCAGTACATTTTTCTGGTGAAGAAAGGTAAGTTTAACTCGCTTGGTGTATACAATACATTAGCGAGTTGTGTTACAAGCACTATAAAAATTGTTACATTTTGATTATACACAGGTAGACATTTTTCACACGCATTTCTATAAAAAATGAGAATTCGGCGAATGTAGCCTTTATAAATTAATGAACAAACGTGTTTCACATGCGTAGCGATAGGTATTATTTATATTTACCAATGTTTTTTTTAAATTTTTCCCAACAGATTAGTACTTTTAGCTGCTAACAAACGAAGGGCGACAGTGACTAATACTAATCCGGTAGGTAGGTATGGAAGGGGCGTTCATGTTCAGTAATGTACTTAAATATAAACACATCGAAACTATTTTTTGGAATTACTATAATAAAAACAACCGTTAATCGATTAGAGTTTTTTTACAATGTTACATCGTCGGCAATCAGTAGTACTAATTTAATTTTTAGACAGTTATACATTTAGTTAATATGTCTCTTTCAACACATTGAAATATTTCCAAGTGTTTTGTATGAAACTGTTTTGGTCCCATGCTAGAATGATGAAAACTAATTTGATTCTATAAAGACCTTATTTTCATAGTGGATTTTTATCTGCATTTTTAATTTTAAAATATTAAACGTATGCTGTAAAATTTTTAAGATCGTTTAGTTAAACAGGTAATACGCAACAGAAATAGATTGGCCGAACAATAATTACGTTGTCATAAAATTTGTAATTGTTATTCTATAAACTGTCATATTCGAATAAATAAATCCAACTTATTTGAAGATTTGATTTGAAGATTCGGTCTTTGTTGGGTCTATTTGCATACGGAAACTGCGGTGAGTATTTTTGACATAAGTGAGTCTCAAACGCATTATAATATTGAAGGTGATATTCATAATCACCAGGGTAATACGGAAATTATCGTTAAATCAAGTAATAGTTGTATTACAACCCCCATTCCTCCTAAAGTAGACCAGTACTCAAGATATTAGCATAGTGTAAGTTCTATTCTTACACTATGATATTAGATAACATTTCCCCGACATACTCAAATTAACCATTTTGCTATTTCAATTGGCCTATTCTATTTCATCTCAGAGTTTTACGTCTACAACTATTATCATTATCTAGGCCATTACAACAAAACAATTGGAAAAATTTAATACCATGTATATAAAATACATAAATAATCACTTCTGCGTTTTCACCAATAAATCAATGGAATTGTAAACCGCTTGCTGCTAAAAATCTTTTTTCCGAAATTAAATTAAATAATAGATTTATATTTATTAATTTTGTAATTTTGCAAATCTTACCCTTAGAGTAAGTTTCATTATTTTATTATAATTAAATAGTGTGTCACGTACTGTTTTTTTTTAAATCTCATTTATAATTTTATGTTGTAATTCATCATGAAATGTCAACGCAACATCACCTTCAATATTTTTTATAACACTAGTATCACACCACAAATTTCGATTAGTTAATACCAATAAAACTAGGTAGGTAGGTGACAACAGCAATTGAAGCAGCAGTAGGTACCTATATTCCTAAAATATTTTGTATAGGTATTAACGACGTATTTGTGTCTAAACACATCATATTATGGAAATCATATTACTACGAAAAAACATTTTCGTTATTAATAGTGCATTTTAATTAGTTAATTGAAATTTAAAGGAATTTATTTTGTCCCTTTGTTTCATAAATGCTAATTAATCAAAATGCACCTTAAATTGTTAAATGAATATATGTACATAAAAGTTGGTGATAAGATGGTGATATAGGTACATTGCAATTAAATAAACAGGAATTGGGTTGTTGCATAAATTGAAATGTTCAATATTCCTCCATTTTAATGATGTGAATTAGATATCCAACATTGAGAAAATAATAATGAACATGCATCAATTTATCAAACAAGTCAAGACCTTCATTACCATAATAAATTGAAAGTAATTCAGTGTACATCATATGTTTTAAAAAAATTACAATGAAACCCATAGATAATAAATTACTTACTATATATACTTAAATAACTTCTACCTCTTCTATTATTTCCGTTTTGAGAAGTACATTTAGCAGCAGCATTTAAAGTTAAATGGCTTATGAGATCTTCCATGCGTATGTAAAAAATGTATATATGTAAAGCTTAAAAGATGGTGAGACGTGCATCGGTTAATCCGAAATTTCGCGATTGCACGAAATACATTACATAAATAAAAACATCCACCCTCAACATGATGTGAGGAACAGTTATGAATACTTCCAACACAACATAATAGATGCCATTTTGATTTTAGATAGTATATTTTCATTCGTTTCAAAACGGGTTTCTGTGTCATTATCTTTTAGTTTTAGAACGATCTCTGTGTCTTAATTACCTAGGTACATATTTTTATTTCAGTCTATTTAAATTGCCTATATTTGACATGGGGAAATAATGTAATAGCATCGAGGCCACAGATATGTTCATTATTTGATCCGCGAATAAATTTCACTAGAATCATCAGATTCTAATCTAATCATAAACAACACATCATTATAAAGTAATTAAATGTACTATGTGTTCTAATTAATAATGCTCACGTCCTCCGACCTCCAACCAAAGACATTTTAACGTGTACCGAAAGTTGAATCGAAATCCGATAAATTTGTACTGTAAATTGCAAGGGGGTGTGCATTTAAACTGGTTCACTTTGTAGATTGAGAAAATTTGATATTACAGATCACAGACATGGGGGATTGTCCACAAAAATCTAGATGTTAATCTGAGGCTCGCAATAACACCTAGTTTACTGTGGCATACCTAACATTATTTCATGTCACATTCAGTTGCAAACACCCATTAAACATCTAATTAACACCTAACGTCCAATAGTTATAAAACTAATAAAAATTTAGACGGAGATTTTGTTTGTTTTTCATAAATTTTAATGTACATATTAAACAGTCTTACGATACAATACATTCTTCGGTCGTGTTGTGCGCATCACGTATTTGTTGCTTGGTCTTCCTACTAGATCTTCGAATTAATGACCTGGAGCGTGGTTTTGCTCTTGATTCTCCTAAAGAGTTGCTGCCCTCTCCCGCGGAACTTGTTTTCTCTTTTTCTAGCGCCGGACTTTCGGTTCTTCGACCTCCTTTACTACTCGCCGAAACGTAAGCACTGGATCTTCTTTTTAATCCGGTTATTTCGTCTGCGTCTTTTGGAAATATCCTCGATAACGTTAAAAATGATCGAAAGATTTCTTTAACGTTAATGTCGTCCTTAGCAGACACTTCTAAAACCTTTACTCTGGAAATAAAGAAATAAGATTTTAGCAAATAGTACTAGGTCTATTACGTATAATTATATTGTAACCATATAATGGAGATCGCGATCAATGAAAATTCGTAGTACCTAAGGCAAAGAAACTGGGAATTAATTACTTGTTAGTTTTCCACGCCTGATACATTTTATGATTAGGTAAGTATTGTTTATGATGCATCTTATGATGATATTGAGCACACCAGGTCAGTTAATCGACTACGCGACTTTCTCATAAATAAGCGAATTTTTAACTGTTTTCTAAATATTTTTTACACTTTCATCTTTGCTTAAGCATTGTAGGTACCTATATAGAAAATCATCGATGTGTGAAAGTATGTTTTAAACGCTAAAATGTTTATTTCTTTTTAGAAATGGAATTCGCTGACGAACAAAAATGTTCGTTTGTTTACGACCCCTCTGTAAACTACACACTTCAAAGTGATCCAATAGACTGTGCTTCGCCAACTATTAAAGAAGAGGTCAAATCCCCTACAATTGAGCTGCTTCCGGTAAAATCTCGGCAAAGATACGAAGCCGCCTACAACGAATTTATTAAATGGCGCGCAACGAAAAACATTGAATCATGTTTTTCCGAAGATGTGCTAATGGTATATTTCGGAGAGTTAGCCGAAAAAATGAAATCATCTACCTTATGGGCCCAATACTCCATGCTTCGTAGCACCATGGCGATAAACCATAACGTTGACATGTCCACCTTTACGAAGTTGAAAGCGCTACTGCAAAGAAAATCTCAGGGTTACCGACCTAAAAAGTCGAAAATACTAACCCCTGAGGATATTAATAAATTTGTTGATGCAGCACCAAATGACAAATACTTGTTCGTTAAGGTAATAGGAAGATACACTAAAATTTGAAAATAATTGGTTTTTCAGATCGCTTTGGTTGTGGGAGTGACTGGTGCTTGTCGTAAGCAAGAACTGGTTCAATTAAAAATAGACGACATCACTGATTTGGGGACTGCTGCTCTTTTTAATATACAGGACATAAGAACTAACAAACCACGTTTATTCACAATTGCGGGAGAATTCTACGAAGTTTATAAACACTACGCAGCTTTGAGACCTGCAAATATGACCGAACGCCGGTTCTTCCTAAACTATCAAAACGGAAAATGCACCAAGCAACCCGTGGGAATAAACAAAATCGGAAGTATTCCTAAGCAAGTGGCCACGTTTCTAAAATTAAACAACCCTGAACTGTACACCGGCCACTGCTTTCGTAGATCTTCTGCGACTATACCTATAGAATCATCGTGCTCGAGGTTGTCTCCAACTGTTTTGACAACGTTGGCCTCCCAATTCACGGCAGCGCCTAACCCATCAAGTTGACCCATCATTTCAATAACGTCAATATCCAATCTTCAATGAACAGTTCTATATACGGCTCGATCAGTTTTATCAATTTATAATCCTCGACTCCGTTTCAATTCTTGTAATATACCTATATACAGATATCACATGATTATGTAATATCTTGTGTGGTACGCTTGATTGTTATTGGTTATTGCATTATTGAATTAGGTAGTTGGACTCTTGACTTTTTGTTTTTCTCATTACATAATCAATTGTAATCTATAATAGTACTGAAAAAGTGATCACTAGTTTTTCTGAACGATATATTGAGCGAAATTTCTAATTGGCAGCATACTTATATGTTATTCTCAATAGCCGAAATCGGACAGTGTCCGAAATTTATACCCATTACGCGTTGTGAGCAGTTCAGTTTACCCACAAAGCGATATGAGTCTAGTTTCCGAAGAATGGGTTAAAAAATTTAACCAAAACGCGTGTACATTTTTTACGTCTGTTAATAGTAGTCCAACAGAAAAGTTCATGTCTCTAGCGGGATTTTCTTAATTTTCCCAGCAACGATACAATTTTCCCATGCCTATGCCTTTTTAACTCATATAAACTTTCATAGTTTACCTACTTTGTTATTTAAACTATACTTCTAATGCAGTTTATAAGAGTGGGTATTGTTATAATAATTTATAAGTGACGTATATATGTTTTGTGCATAGTTTTGTAGAGATCTCGGGTATATAGATTCGTGTTATTGATGTAATTACCTAATAGTTTTAAAATTTTCTTGTATAGGGGCAGTAACATGTTACGTACCAAAAAGGGAAAAAAGTGTCAATCAAATGAGCCTAATAAAAAGATACATTTATTTTAAAAAAATCAATTGTTTTTCGTTACTCGTTACGAAAAGTAGTTTTCTTTATTGAGATATAAATGAATGGGCCTGTATTTAATTGACCACGGATGCCGTAATGTAAGCAGGAAAGCACAGATACAAGTTATACTTGGGGATTCATAGGTGCAAATAGTTAAAAAGTTGCAAAAAAACGTAATCAAATTCTTGTATGTACGCGTGTAAACATATTTTATCTCCCAATATTGGTGGTGTCTCGGGCAAAAATGCTCAAATTTAATATCAAATTCTGATTGTACAGTTAGCGACATGAAATTCTACTGAATGACAAAAAAACGGCCCTTTGGTATATAATATCCGAGCCCATAACTAAGTATATGTGTATGATAGCAATGGAAAAAATCGTGTTTATAATAAAGAATTCAGCCTAAAGCTATTTGAATATACACGCGACACGAGACGATAAAAGCACTTAACGTCAGAGCGAAATTGAATGAAGAACCGAGAATGTGACATCATTTCCAATACCTATAGTAGTAGAATGGAAATGGTACATAAGCGAAAACTCTTGGATTTAAAAAAATGTGCAGGTATTGTATGTTTCTATAGTGTTTTACTGCTATTTCAATTTGAGTAATGCAGACCGGCACCACATAATAAAGAGTAGTACGCTACGCTCCTTATTCTGTGCCGGCACCACATTTCATGCGCCCGTAAGTATTCCGTGTTTAGATATGCACTGTTCGAGTAGATTAAATAATAACAATAAGCAAGAAAAATGAACGATTTACGGTTAAAAACTGTCATATTTGCCCTGGTATTTGCTTAATTGTGCATTTTTCGCGATTCACTATATGGGATTGCTAAATTAAAAGTCGAAGGCTAAATGAAACCATATTTGGACAACCTATATCTTTTAGTTTTTATAGTAATTGAATAAAATTCAATTTTGCCAGTTGTTAAAATGAATGTGATAAACAAGTTAATAATAAGCGCTTCATTTCAACACACGTAACACGTAACACTAAATATTTCAGAGAAAATAGCACGTCTTACAATATAAATTTTTGTTTTGTTAGATACATAACTACATCAGGTAGTAGTGTGGTAGTGTAGGTAAATTAATATTGTCAATAAATTTTACGAGAATACCAATTTTTCAATTGTGGACATTACCTTTGTATTTATGTTTTTTTCAAGATGGCGGCACGCGCACAGTTCCGCTCAGATCTAAAACTGGATTTAACATTAGGAGACATTCGTGTATAAATCTTACTACCTAAATAATTACGATCGCGACTCCTTTTTCCAGCTAATTGCACTGGTCTACTTATCCTATTGAAGATAAAGAGGCACAAACGATGGCTAGGGCATTTCTTAATAATTTGCCTTAATGACAGATGTTAAATTGACATTTTAATAGGGTAGATGCAGTGAAACGAATCATTGTGAATCCAATGACATCTGTCATTCTTATTAAAAGTTGGACGCGGAGCACGAAATAAATTAAAGTTCAAAACAGAATAAAATGGTTCCATGGAATGCAATTGTAGGTAAGTGATTACGTTGTTTCACGGATAGGTCACCTTTAATTTTAACTGGTCCCGAGTACATATTTTTGCTTTCCAAGATGCTTAAACTTCATATGCACTTTTGGCATCATCTTCTTTCCTGTCTCCAACATTTTCCGGTTCTGAGTGTGGGAGGTTGAATATAGTAATACGGTTCTGGATCTAATTTGTATTTCAATCGGGTCTGCAAGAAGTTCCGTTTCTAGAGAAGCCAAGCTGTTTGTATTTGCCAATGTAGATGTCTATGGACGAGACTTTAGCCTCAAGTATTCCCATTCTCTCTCCATAGTTCTTCAGTTGTGTCTCCAGTGACAAAATTCGCTCCGACACTTCAGTAAATTGAGTGATGCAATGAGCCATAGACTGATTCATCTGGTTAACAAAATCACTAAATTGCTCTTGAAACTTATCAAACTTTTCATCCGAAGATGGTGGTACATCACCCTCTGATCGAGGTGCCAATCAGCATTATGCCTCATCACCATTTATTGATTTTATCCTGGCAATACAGCTATAGTGAAAAACTTTGCCACAATGTATGCAAGTAAGTGCCGCTTTTTAACGTTCTGTGAACGTTTAATACACAAAGGTATATAGCTGATTAGATATTTGGTCTCAAAACAAATATAGGTAACTTGAATGATCCGTAGCTATATCGCACGCGACCTTTATGGTAATGTTGATACAAAAAGTTTATATCATTCACCTATGTAAAGGAAATTGTTTTTTTCGAAATTGCTTTAGAAACACCTACTGTCGTCTCTAAAAAGGGTGAAGAAAATGTAATTTTCTTCTCTAGTGAGGAAAGTAAAAAACAATTGCTACGTTAATCTTAATAATGACATTTAAAATTGAAACATACCCGTATCTACGTTGCTATGTGTCAAATTTCACTATGCATACGATAATTTTTCCATTTAGGTTGTACCTAGTTTCAGAAACAAATATGTGTAAAACTTGAGAAGAAAGTGGAGTTTTTCAACTCGAGTTCAATGTTTGACACATGTGCGTACCTACCTATTACCCTACTATCTTTGACTTTGTTGGCACGAAATGTCGATATGTTAACTGATGGTAATAATATTATGTACCTACTCAATCACAAAATGAAAATCATATGAAAAATATTTTGAAGGCGCACTTCCCCGCACAAGCGACCGAAGCGCAAGGGTCCATAATTCGTGTAAATAGAGATAATAAGCCTAATTACTATAATTTCATTATATTATAAGTAAAACACTAACAAAATAAGACAAACCTTAGTTTTGGAAGCTCGCAATAAACCCACTCCGAAACATCTTCAATGCGAACTTCTCTGTGCGTTGTTGTAAGATCAAGTTTGTTTCCAGCCACAACAATAGGTACATCTTGAAAATCAGCCCTTTGTTCTCGAATTTCTTCAAAGCATTGTTTAATACAAGTAAAAGACGGCGCCGATGTAACAGCGTAAACTAGGAGGAAGGCGTGAGCTGTGGCAATGCACAATCTTCTCATTGCGGGAAACTGCATATCGCCTGCCGTATCCAGAATGTCCACTTTTAATGTCATATGTCCTAAATCGTATTCACGGTTATATAGGTCTTCCACTGTACTTCTGTATTTATCTGTGTAAGTATTGGTTAGGAATCGTTTTACAATGCAACTCTTTCCAACACCTGCACCACCCAAAATCACAATACGTATCCGCTCGTAATCCGACATGGTGGTTCCATTATTATTCATTGTGAATCGATTTACTTCTAATGTATAGGATGCCAAAATATCTTAATCATAAATGTTTTCAGTGGTCCGAAAAGCGTTAATGGAAATCCTTGCGCTACTTGAAATGAACTTCCACTAATGAAGAATCTGAAAAGATAAATACATAAATAAATAAATAAATACACTTATAAGTTCTAAAAGTATGCATGTCACGTTTTCCTATTATAAAGTCAAATAGTTTGGAGAACACTTAAACTTGCTGCTCGAGTTAGGAATTTAGATGTACATAACCATTACATAACATCAAATTTACATTCTGACAGCGTGAATATGTTTACAAATAAATTAGACCAAGAACTATAGTCACACAACTTCTCCGCATTTTTTATGTTTGAACAACTTCAATGAAAGTATGGCGAGGTAAAACAGTTATCAATTTGGAAAATGATGGAAGGCTTATTAGTACCTACTTGCTTAAACCACTAAAAACCAGATAATGGTCTATTCATCTGTCAAATGTCCTGTCACTAATTTGGGAAAGTTCAAAATTGTATGTTTCTTATTATATTGACAAGATGTGCACAGAGTGTTTCATAATACTGCTCGTATACGTTTTACCTATACAGTCCAGGTAAGTTTTAAAAACCGATGACGATTTTCGCTTTATTACTTGCACAGGGACCTGAGCAAACCAGGAGAAATCACGTTCGATCAGTATCAGCGTTATCAAAATGTTTGTGTAACATTACTTTGTGCAATGCATATGTTCACAGCGATTTGCTGCAGATTCAGGATTACCTCTATCGACTTAATGGGACGTACAAGAGACTTGTTACGGTAGAACATTTCGGTGTTTCAGTGGAAAATCGAAATTTAACATCTATTAAGATATCGACTGGTGGAAATTTCAAGAAACCCTTAATATTTATAGATGCAGGAATACATGCAAGGGAGTGGATTGGGCCCGCACAAGCTCTATACGTCATACATCGGTTAGTAGAAAATCCATCCCTGTCAAGTTTGGTCAAGAATGTCAACTGGCTAATTGTACCACTAGTTAATCCTGATGGATATGAATATTCCCACATGGTTGTAAGTTTAACTCGAGTATATTGGAGATGAAAAACTTTAGGACTTTAGGATAGGCTTTGGCGGAAAAATCGAGCAAAGGGAAAAATATGTGACGGAGTTGACTTGAATCGAAATTTCGATTTTCAATGGTTACATTCTGGTGCCAGTCGGAGTGAATGTTCTAATAACTTTGCTGGAGTGCGCCCTTTTTCTGAGCCTGAAAGCTTGGCTTTAAGTAAAATAATAGCGAAACACGCCGAAAGTACCAGTATCTACATCAGTCTCCATGCAGCTGCACAGTCTATTTTGTACCCTTGGGGTTACACCACCGATTTACCTGATAATGGCCAAGAATTGCACGATTTAGCTCAAAATCTAACCGAAGCCGTGTATAGAGTTAATTCCACACAGTATAAGGTTGGCAGTTCTGCAAATATACTGTATGCGGATTCCGGAACGAGTCGAGATTGGGCATACGCTGTAGCGAACATAAAATTAGCTTATACCATTGAGTTAAAGGGCTTCTCAGATAGCTTATTGAACCGTCGTAGGGGAGGTCGCTTTGATATACCACCGGAGGATATCTTGAATGTTGTTTCTGAGATGTTTGAAGGAATCAAACGTTTACATTCGTATGTAGAACCTAAGCATCAAGTATGTGCATTGACATTTGATAATCTTATCAACAATTTAAAAAGAATCTTCTTTTTCGTATGAAATAACAATCTACTTGTTTAAATTGAAATTAGAATTTTTACAAAACCGTAGTGTGAAATGAATTTTATATGTGGTTTAAGGGGGATGCTTACTGTTTCACCAGGACTAATGATACCTACCTTCCAGCTTGTTTAAAGTTCGTCGCAGAGGTGAAATGTGCCTATTCTACTATGATTGAGTCAAAGCTTTTACGCGATTCGTAATACAATGCGCGCAAACGAAAAATTTGTAGAACTACGACAAATGATTATCCCAAAGTCTCGAAAAATCTGAGATCTAGGTTTGAACCAAGATTGTATTGTATGAAAGAAAGCTAAGGTCATTTCGAGCAATACATTCTTTAGTTTAAGCCTTGGTGGGCTTTTATTAATTGTTTAACTTTGAAGTTAGAAGAGTAAGTAATGTAAACCCCTCCAAATTATGGGACATTTGACCCCTCGCCTCTTTTAAAAATTCGTGGGGTATTGCAATCACTAGCGCAGATTTAAAGCTGTAAAAATGCACAAAAATTGACTCCTTTCGATATAAAAATCGACTGCAAAAACTGGCAACTGGCAAAACAATTCCTAAACTAGACCTGCATTCCCTCACAACTTTTTACGCTCCCTTTCCCCCATTTTTAAGTTTTACATGGCACCACTAAGGCATGCGTATGCAAAATCTGAGACAAATTTGGTTGTCCCACGTAAAAGTTATACACGTTTTACTTTCAGAAATAGCATCTCGTGAAATAACTAATGGGGATGGCTCCTCTTAAGTCAACAAAATTTGAATGCCATCTGGCACACCGGCTACCTATTGCAAAAATTCCAGGCCTCTCATCTCTCGATAAACTTATTCGGCAAATAAGTACCATGACATCGATTGTATCGTCATTGGAGTTTATTCACAGAATAGTTATTGGGAAGTGAAAAAGTGGGTCTAAAGGTAAGCGTTCACTGAAACGTAGCGGACGCGCCGGACTGGCCAGAGAAAATATTTTTAAATGATATTATATGAAGATGCATTCACTTGGACGTAACGCGCACTAACATTAAGTGCAATGGAAATAATAGCACAGATGTTACATATGTGATACTGATAATAGTAGGTATTTTACGTCCGCTGTGCCTCAGTGAATGCGTACCTTTAGAAATCAAATACGTCGACTTTAATCCTATATGAATGTGTAGTGTGCGGCGATACCTATGTCTAGGATGAGACATAAGAGGACGGTTTATTTATAACTGATTATTTCTTCCTCCATATACCTAGTAAAATAAGTGAAAACGCTATAGTCATTGTCCATATTTCAACGATTATTATAAATGTGTCAAAATTTGTTGCGTAATTTAATATTTTTGCAAGAAATTATCATGCCGAATATCCCGCGCGCATAATTAAATGTCGTTTTCGTCAAATTTAATGTTTTGATTAGAAATACGTCGAGTCAATTTGTCCCGTAACAAAATCCCGGCTATTTTTATGCACTGGATATTACTGTTGAAAAAAATCACATATTCTCAATGGCGCTTAAACCAACCCAAAATATCCCTAATGGGTCTTAGGTACAGTCAACTTAAAAGTCCTAAAAATCCTCTGTTATGTTTCATCTCAAATCAAATCTTTTCAGATCAGTCTGAACTGCCATGACTCTGACAGTCTGGGGTGCGATTTTGGAGCAACCGCGTACTATCAGAAGTGTAAAAAAAACTAAGATCAGTTTATTTCAAAGTTTGACGATACGTCTTTTTTGTGGCACACGCAAGGTATCATTCGTTTTGTTGCGAGCGGAAGTAACGAAAAGGTTCGATCATGCCTTATGTTATCTTTAATTAAAAATACGGAGAATAATTTTTTTTTTGAAAAGGTAGGTAATGTATCTTTAAAAGTCATAAAGCTATCACTTATATAACCCTTTCTTCCGATTTTCAATTTCAAGAGCTGTTTTCAGTCCGACCAGGGGATTGATTTAGTTCGATCGAGAATCAGTAAAAAAAATATCACGGTTTCAAAGTGAAAGTTTATTTTTATTTTATTTTTAGCTTCCTAGCATGTGCTAGGTAGCTATTGCGATAGCCGTTTTTTGAACATTTCAAAATTTCATCAAATGTCGACGTTTTAGACCATTTTAAGCAACTTTTAAAGAATAAAATTTTTTTCCGTCTGTATGTACGTACGTACGTTTGTTGGCAATTTTCTGAGAAAACGGCTCGACGGATTTTGTTGAAATTTTGTATATATGTTTTAGGCATACCGAACAGAAAAATAACGGGCCGGATTTTTGAAAAAAAATTTTGGAGCGCCGTAACGGCATCGAACTTTTTTTTTCAAATAGCAACCTAAAATTTTTATTCTATTATTTGGAAGACCTTATTTTCCTGTGTACAACCTACAAAAAATTGGGCCGGGTTATATTATCAAAAAACGGAGAAAAAAATTGTCAAAGTCAAAAAATTGTGTTGCATATGTGCAAAACGCAACGATCTTGTTTCTGAAGCAATTTAAACGAAATTTCTATGGTAAGTCCCTTTAATAAAAGCAAACAAAATTCATGCGCAAAAATCGTGTTGCGCATGCGCAGAAATGCAATTATCTTATTTATGGAACAATTAAAACGAAATTTGGATGGTAGGTCCTCCTAATAAAAGAAAACAAAATGCATGCGCAAAAAATTGAGTTGCGCATGTGCAACATCCAACTTTCTTATTTATGGAGCAATTTTAACGAAATTTGGATGGTAGGTCCCCCTAATAAAAGCAAACAAAATGCATGCGCAAAAATCGTGTTGCGCATGCGCAGAAATGCAACTTTCTTATTTATGGAACAATTTTAACGAAATTTAGATGATAGATCCTTTTAATAAAAGCTAACAAAATGCATGCGCAAAAATCGTGTTGCGCATGCGCAGAAATGCAATTTTCTTATTTATGGAACAATTAAAACGAAATTTGGATGGTGGGTCCTCCTAATAAAAGAAAACAAAATGCATGCGCAAAAAATGGTGTTGCGCATGTGCAACATCCAACTTTCTTATTTATGGAGCAATTTTAACGAAATTTGGATGGTAGGTCCCTCTAATAAAAGCAAACAAAATGCATGCGTAAAAATTGACGTTTTAGACCATTTTAAGCAACTTTTAAAGAATAAATTTTTCCCGTCTGTAAGTGCGTACATATGTTGGCAATTTTTGGTTTCAGCTAGGAAGCTATTCTGTCAAGAATTTGACACCTGGTTTTATTGTTGAGGTCATGGTAATACTGCACTATTAGTGTGTATAATCAATAGTGAGGTTAATAGGTTAACCACATCGTATCATAAAACCGAAAACGCATATTACATACATCCAAGAAGAGAATTTATAATTTAGCGTAGGACCTACTTTGGTTCTCTTTGCCACTCAACTTACGTGTTACGCCCTGCATACGTAGGTAAATGAGCGATTTTATTCATGGGAAATGATTTTGTGACGTAGGCAACGTGGAGGGTAGGGTATATAGTAGAATTTGTTTAAACAAAGGATCCTCATTACTGTCATAACTGTCAAAAAGATTGTGACACAGAACACAATGACGCGTCGATGAAGTTTGAGCAATTTATTATTCCACCAATATGAACGGTGTAGCAAGGGTAATTATATGTGTATTATTTGTTAGTTCGAGGTATGTTTTAAATACTATTATGTAAGAAATTAATATAAACGTTTATTTAGCGCACATTATCAAAAAATTGCAAAAAAGAGAGGTGAAGTTTCGTTTGATCAATATTTGCGTTACCAAGAAGTATGTATACAATAGCAGCATAGTTAATCAAGGTATATGTTTCTTGCAGATTCAGGATTACTTAAACAGACTTAATGTTACGCATAATAAATTAGTAGCGGTGATAAATTATGGGGTTTCGAACGAAAATCGCAATCTAACGGCGATTAAAATATCAACTGGGGGACGAAATAGGAAACCGTTAATATTTGTCGATGCTGGAATACATGCAAGAGAGTGGATCTCACCCGCTCAGGCACTTTACCTTATTAATCAGTTAGTTGAAAATCCAAACGCCACGTCCTTTAGTAGAAATGTTGATTGGTTAATTATCCCTTTAGTTAATCCTGACGGATACGAGTACACACATACCGCTGTAAGTTTTTATGCTTTGGAGATTTCGAAAATGTTGTTCCTTAGGACAGATTCTGGAGGAAAAATCGGGCTAAAGGGCGGTTGTGTCGAGGTGTCGATTTAAATCGTAATTTTGATTTCCAATGGTCCCAGGCAGGTGCAAGTGACGATGAATGTTCCAGCACGTATGCGGGGCCACGCGCATTTTCAGAACCTGAAAGTGTGGCTCTAAGTACACTAATTGCTGAAAATGCGCACCGCATAAAGTTGTATGTTAGTTTTCATGCGGCGGCTCAGTCAATTTTATATCCATGGGGTTACACCGAAGGTTTGCCTAACAATGGAAGAGAGTTACATAAATTAGCAGCACAAGTATCGGACGCGGTTCATCAATTGCATGGCACCGAGTACAGAGTGGGAACCTTCGCAAATATTTTATATTTGGGGTCTGGAACGAGCTGTGATTGGGCATATAGTGTTGCAAATGTAAAACTAGCATACACTATTGAATTACGAGGATCAAATCTCACACATAAAAGTCGTTTTGAAATTCCAACAAATAATATTTTTACTGTAGTGTCTGAAATGTTTGAAGGACTCAAAGCGCTGCATTTGTATGTGGAATGGAAAAACTCGCCATATGACCCATTTATGAGTAGGCTGAAGCGATGGAGTCTATTTGTATGAAATCGTACTTGTTTTTATTTAAATATGTCAAATGTTGACGTAACAAAATTATAAGCATGAACAGTTTAACAAGAAAGTTGTTTTATTGTGTTTTTCTATTATTCTACCTGGCAAATAAACTAGAGTACGAAAGTGATATAGATAAACGCTGAAACTACTTGTATTGTTGTAGTGCTGTACTCAATAAATTGATGACCGACGACAATGCAATTGACTTCGATCGTTATCTGAGATATGAAGAGGTACTTTTTCAACAGGAACGAAATACTTATTCTACTTTTTAGATCATAGACCACTTAAACAAGGTCGCATCCCGTCACAAAAGTGTGGCTAAAATAGAAGATTTTGGTGTATCACACGAAAATCGTCGTCTTGTGTTGATTAAAATTGCAAGCGCCACAAGGAAGATTAAACCGCTTATATTTATTGAAGCAGGGATACATGCAAGAGAATGGTTAGCACCGGCGCAAGCTATTTATATTATCAATCAACTATTAGAAGTTTCGGAAAATAAAGAATTGAGAGACAAAGTGGATTGGGTTATCATCCCATTACTAAATCCCGATGGATATGAATATTCCCATAGTGTTGTAAATAATATATTTAACCACGTAATTTTTAAGCATTTTGACCACTAGGATCGGTTATGGAGGAAAAATCGCGCTAAGGGAAAACTTTGTGATGGAGTGGATCTCAATCGCAACTTCGATTTTCATTGGTCCCAAACCGGCGCAAGCAACTACGAATGTTCAAGCACTTATGCGGGTGTTAAGGCGTTTTCTGAACCCGAAAGCTTTGCTCTTAGTATGACTATAAAAAAGTACGCGAGCCGGACAAAATTGTACCTTAGTTTACATACTGCAGAGCAATGCATCTTATTCCCATGGGGTTACACCTTGGACTCTGCCAAAAATGACCAAGAGTTGAGACATCTCGCTTACGTAGTTTCTTCTAAAGTGTTTAATATTAGCAAGACAGAGTACAGGATTGGAACTTCTGCGCAAATTTTAAATGTAGTCTCTGGGTCAAGTCGGGATTGGGCTTATGGGATCGCCAATATCTCACTCGCTTTTACTATCGAGTTAGAAGCCTTTCTGCACCCACGACACGTAGACCGTTTTATAATGCCTCCAAATAGGATTTTTAAAGTGGTATCCGAGATGTTTGAAGGGATCAAAGTGTTTTACGCATTTATTAGGGATAAATATTGTGTACATTGAAATTAAATATACGCCTTGCGTCTGTTGTATATTGGTACCTAGTTACTAAGTAATTCTGCAATATAACCCATAGCACAATTCATATTCGCTTTTAACTAAACTTACGTTCCACATAAAGGTGTAACTCTTTAAGTCCTTCAAACATTTCTGAGACAACTTCCAAAATATCTTCGGCCGCTATTTCAAATCGATGTTTGAATCTACCCCCGGATACTCCTTTTAACTCGATTGTGTAGCACAGTTTTACATTCGCAACAGCGTAGGTCCAATCGAAACTGGAACCAGAACCGATGTATAGAAGGTTTGCAGCGCTACCAATTTTATATTGTGTAAAGTTTACTTTATGGACCGCATCCGACACTTTAGTGGCCAATTTGTGCAGCTCTTTACCATTTTCAGGTAGATCCTTTGTATAACCCCACGGGTATAAAATCGATTGTGCTGCTGCGTGAAAACTAATATATATCTTAATACGTTTCGAATTTTCCCTTATTAGTCTGCTCAACGCAAAACTTTCCGGCTCCGAAAAAGGACGCATTCCGGCGAAAAAATTAGAACATTCACTATCACTCCCTCCATGACCTAACCAATGAAAGTCGAAGTTACGATTTAAATCCACGCCGTAACATATTCGACCCTTAGCGCGGTTTTTCCTCCAAAACCTATCCTAAATACCTCTGTAGGTAGTTTTAAAAGTATTAAGTTTATTAACTTACCACCCTACGCGAATATTCATATCCGTCGGGGTTTACTAAAGGAACAATTACCCAATCCACGTCCTTTATCATTGCGGCATTATTTCGATTTTCCACCAATTGACTGATGGTGTACAAAGCCTGAGCAGGACTAATCCATTCCCTTGCATGGATTCCAGCATCTATAAATATTAAGGGACCGTTCCGGCGTGTTTTATTTCCAATTTGAATGTATGTAAGATGTCTGTTTTCGACTGACATACCAAAATTTTTCACTTCCACAATTTCGTTGTACTTTGTCTTAAGTACGTTGAGATAGTGTTGAATCTAAAAGAAATGTTCCACATTCATAAATATTATAGAAATTCAAACCCTCGTTCAAACCGCACGTCTCGATAAGCGAGATATTGATCAAATTTTATTTCTCCGCTTTTGTTCGGCGTCTCCTGAACCCGTAACCTAAGTAAAAGTTGCATAGGTTTTTTTTAACTTCTCTGTGTTACCTTGCAATCTGAAAGAATGCAATGACCATTAACTTCATCCAATTCATTTTACAACCCACTATAATTTATTCTGTTTTCGGTGAAATAGTGACACTCTGTGACAGCTTAAATTATTGTCTAATTAGGTACGCATGGCAACATTTATAATTAATAATAATAGTATATTAATAAATGAGGAAGTGGACATTGCGCAGTCTGCGCATGCGCAGTTTAATTGTCAAGCTTTTCCTTGGCTCAGGTGCTAGAGCTATACGCTACCGAAAGCAAAAAGAACGAACTTAATATCCTTGAAAACTGTAGGAGTAGTTAAGGCCTCGGACAGACGGTCGAACAGAGAAAGTGACTGCAATAGAGCACCCAACTTCGTTGGAAAATTCGCTAATAAATAAATACTGCCTTTCGTGTATACTCAGGATGAGCTAAATGAAGCGAGTCATCGTAATTAAAATAAGAACAAGAACAAGAAGAGCCGAGTAGTGTGGGAGCTTAGGTCCAAAAGTGAGGTAAAGTTCACACTAGGCACATATGTGCATGCCTCTCTCACGCTCGTTCCGGGTGCCACGTTCGCCTGCTCTTTGAACCCCTGTTAGGGGGGAGGTTGCCGAAAATGTTGATTGCTAATGACTGGACCATTTTTTTTACTCTACTAAGCTGGGGCACAGCTAAGCTCAGTTGATTAGGAGTTGCACACCAATTCAGGCTCTAACTAGCCGATTTCTGTATTTATTTTCGGTGTTTTAGCTCCAAACTTGCATAATTATCCACAAAGGTACGTAATTAAGTCACATAAAGTTTTTATGGCACTCAGTTGTATAATGTGAGCCCTTTCAGTACAGGTTGCCCACTCCTTTTGATGCTACTAACCATCTACGCCATTTACGGTTTATATGACTGGACTATCTAGTCTTTCGTCATGCGCAAAACGGGCAAATTATGGTTAACTGCTAATTAGAGATAAAATTTGTGAAGATTTTCAATTCGGTTAGTTGAAACAGAATTAAATATGAAAATCGTTCAACGTCAAACAACGATAACTTAGATGCGATGCACAGGTAGTTTGTTAAAAGATTCCAAAGCATCACTGATTTATAATAATGTAATTTTTTATTTTATCGATTTCTACGGTTTCGAAAAACGGAAAATTATAAGTAATAGCACAGATCTACACAAACAGTAATAGTATGAACAGATGCAGTATTTTTTTCACTTATAATTGCACAAGAGGTTTGTATTTTACCGAGTAAATTTGGGTTGTTTAGGTAATAAAAATCTGTTGCCTAGTAATTAGACGAGAAAAACTGTCAACTAATAAAAATGCGACACCGCAGGTGGAGCATTTTTAGGTTGACAGTTTTTCGAGTCCAATTGCTAAAAGGAAACAGATTTGAATTGCCACAACCCAAATTTACTCGGTTTAAATACAAACCTCGAGTGTAATTCGGCAGGACAATTTAACGAACAAGAAATTCACCAAACTAATCAATTATTGACAGACGTCAAACTAGTCATATGGGAAAGGGTAATGCGATAATTGGTTCGAAAATGAATAAGTGAAAAAACCACTAGTGCATTTGTCGCTGGAAAAGTTGCAGGTAACTTTTGCCGCTGTCAAAGTGACAATTTCACTGCGGCTTATGCGATTTTTTATACATGAGTTGAATTGTCTTTAAAAAACGTATTTAGACTTTTGCTCTATAGTATATTAAGTATGGAGAACGGTAAGGGATTTTTACCGTTCGAAGACAATTGTTTGGAGGAGGAGCGAAGCGACGACTCCAATTATTGTCTGAGAACGGTACCCTTAACGTTCGACGTGCTTATAACATTTTTTGCGCGATCGAAATTAAAATTATGCAACCAATATAAATATGCACTAAGAAATTAACGAGCAGAATAAATCGAAATGATCGAAGTGGTATGGTGTACATCACTAGGTAACCAGTTTAAATGTCAAAATTGAAATTAATAATTTCATAAAAATGTGCATGTGTCTGATGTAGTTTACTAGCTTTGCACTTCCTTTATGATTTTATGAGCGTCTTGCTATAGGAAACAACAGCACAAATTGTACGTTTAATGTACCTAACAACAATTAAAGATTAAATGTAATGTAAGACTGTTGATTTTTAAAAAGGCGTCGGTAAGTATTTTTGCTGTTCTGTTTTTAGATCGGTAAGTAATTTTGGCGTCGTCGTAATCATAGCAACTGGTAAATTCTACGTACTGTCATGAAAACACCCATGGTAAATAGTCAGAAATGACCGATCGCGCAAAAAAATAATTAGAGGAGCTAGTCACTGACTATAAAGAAATGACCATTGAAATCCCTATGCTGCGTCACGCTAGGCACCACCCTGTATAATCCATAACACATTGATTTTCATTTTTCTCGCTCTATTTGGCTGGTAACAGATTTACAGTAGCTTTATTGACTGCATCTAAAACTTCAGGTGGTATTCCACATTAACTCTAGTACTTAGTTACATCAGATTATATATTTTTTTCAAATGTGGGAATAGAAATGTTAATTCAGGAGTTTAAATGTTTCCTATTCGAGTGGAAAAATAAAACGCTACCTCATCAATGTCAAAATTAGAAAGTCTTCATTCCATTGATCTATCAGTCAAGAATTACAGTTCTGCAGATTTAGTAGAAACGTATTAAACACTTTATTTTGGTAAGGTGTAAAGGTGTAGTGTTCACCGAAATTGATATAAAATGCAGCGTATATGGATTTACCCATTGGAATTTTCAAGCCCCTCCAGAGACACAGTGTTATTATTAAAAGCTATATCTTCGTTCAACATAAACGTGAAGTGTTTTTAATCCTTCAAACGTTTCAGTCAGTGCATTTGAAATATTTTCTTTGGGTATTTGAAATCGACTTTCAAGCGTAAGACCATCAAAACCTTTTAATTCAATGGTGTAAGATAGTGAGACATTTCCATATCCATACACCCAATCACGGCTTGTACCAGATCCTATGTAAAGGACGTTTGCTGCGCTGCCTACCTTATATTGAGTTGAATTTACTCTGAAAACGGCTTCGGAGAATCTTTCAGCTAATTTATGGAGTTCTTTTCCATTAGTTGGCAAATCAGTAGTGTAACCCCAAGGATATAAGATTGACTTTGCAGCAGCGTGGAGGCTTATATACATTTTAATACGATTAGCATTTTCCGTTATCAGCTTACTTAACGCTAAGCTTTCTGGTTCAGAAAAAGGACGTACACCAGCAAAATAATTAGAACATTCACTACTGCTCGCACCAGGTTGGGACCATTGATAGTTGAAGTTTCGATTCAAGTCAACTCCATCACATATCCTTCCCTTTGCTCTATTCTTTCTCCACAATCGATCCTAACAGAAGTGTTTCATCGCATACCTAATTGGAGGAAAAAACTCACGACAGTATGTGAATATTCATATCCATCGGGATTTACCAGAGGTACAATTAACCAATCTACTTTTTTTATTAATTTGGAATTTTTTGGATCCTCTACCAATTGATTGATTATGTAAAGAGCTTGAGCCGGACCAAGCCACTCCCTTGCGTGCATCCCCGCATCCATAAATATTAAAGGTTTTTTGTAATTTCCAATTGTTTGAATTTTAATCGAGGTAAGATTGCGGTTCTCCACTGACAGTCCAAAATTTTTGACACAAACAATTTTGGGGTACGTGCGGTTTAGTTTACGAAGATAATCTTGCATCTAAAAGATATACCATTAATGGTAATAAGACAGTACTACCTACTTCGTGGTAACGAAGGTATCCGTCAAAATTGATATCTCCTTTATTTCTCTCGGCATTTTGGCACAGAACTCTAAATACATTGCTAATAAGTCCGTCACAGAAAAGGAGTTTTCTTACCTTGAATTAGCAACCATAACTATTACAATGACTGGTACAATCATTTGATTCATTGTAAAGTAAATATCTACGAGGTAATTTGACTTTCACCAGCTGTCAACAAGAGACAATCACATCTGGTATTTTTTTTTCATATGGAGCCGGCCATTTTGACTGTTTTAATTATGACAGACATGAAAATTAGGCTTAAAATCGTGAAAACAGCACGAAATGAAAGAAAATTGAACTTAGACAAGTTAAGGTTTATGGACAAGGATGAAGTGGGGAAATTGATGAATGAAGAATGAATCTAAAGTCACCACAAGATGTAGAGTGTAAGTGGAAAAGAATCAAGACGGGAATAACCGTTGGAAAGAAAACTAGATTTAAGAAAGTAAGATCAAAGATGGATAAATCAGGAAATGATAGCAAAGGTGGGAGAGAGAAGAAGGTACAAAATCATCACTACCAAAGAAGAATGAAGTCAATGTCGATGGCTAAATACGGAGTTGAGAAAATAAACTGATGAAGCGGGAGGGGGGGGATTAAGTATAATGATAATGAAATAGAATAAGACAGGAATAGAAAAATAATGAAAGAAGAAAACGAAATTCTAAAACGCCGGAAAAAGTATACAGGGTGACAATTTGAAAACTTACCACCCCCCATATCTTAGTAAATAAACGAGATATTTAAAAAAATCAAAATCCGTTTCGGTAATTCGGAGGGGGAATCACAATATTCACAATGACATAGTTGGCGACGCACCCCCTCCAACCCCCTGCGCCCCAGCCACCCCAACTTTTAAATCTTAAATAGTGACCCCCCATGTGTGATACGTCGTTGGAAAGCTCTGAATAAATGCTTTCCAACCATACCAAATGGCATTACATTTAGGTTAGTAATTATCGTGCAAATCAAAAAATTAACTAATATGATACATTTGAAATCTGTCGTATTTATAACGCAACCGGCGAACATAGACGAACTAAGACAGGGAATAATTCAAGAATCTCGAAATATTGCAAAATCAACATTTGAAAAGGTTCAGCACGAGTTTGAGAATAGATTATAACTGGCGATCAAAAATGAGTTGCTGTCGAGTCGGCTTTGGAAGTTCAAGTTAAATACGATTTTCCATGTAAACAAACATTTCAAAGGGCGACTCGACAGCAACTCATTTTTGATCGCATAGTAATACTGTCTTACCAATAACGGAAAACATTTTGAACATTTATTGAAATAAAGGCCAACTTTAGAAAATGTATCATATTAGTTGATTTTTTAATTTGCACGATAATTACTAACCTAAATGTAATGCTATTTGGTATGGTTGGAAAGCATTTTTTCAGAGCTTTCCAACGACATACACACATGGGGGGTTACTATTTAAGATTTAAAAGTTGGGGTGGCTAGGGCGCAGGGGGTGTGAGGGGGTGCGTCGCCAACTATGTCATTTTGATTCCCTCTCCGAGTTACCGAAACGGATTTTGATTTTTTTAAATATCTCGTTTATTTACTAAGATATGGGGGGTGGTAAGTTTTCAAATTGTCACCCTGTATAGGTAGATCTCTGTAAAACAAATGAAAAACCAAGGCAAATGGAAATGGAAGAATCAGCCTGTCCTGACAGTATAGGAACCAGCGTTGTGCTTACCGAAATGGAAAGAGCAAAGAAATAGTATGTCTTGCTGTGAAAGCAAGCAGAGTAATCAATTTTCCTGAAACAAGACAAACACAAGGTTTCTGATGATCGAAGATTCTTAAAGTATTGTACCTAATACGATGCTGGAACCCCAAATAGAATCATATTTTCTTTTAGGGGAATGTTTAAAAATCATGATACTTATAAAATGTGTTATCGTATATAACTACAACGTCAATGTGCGTTTACTATTGGGGGAAAACACTACAATTTTAAACACCAAATTTATGTCTGCAATCATTTCCGATCATCCGGTGTGCATTTTTTTATTTCCGTTCTAATACATAAACGCCATATTCCATTAAATTATTTCCGATAGTATGTACAGAAAAGTTCATTTAGGTCAATAGTTTCCGTTCATCTCAGTTTGCTACAGTAATAACAGCAATTATGTGGAACGTGAAACTCCACCAATAAAATATGACTATGGTAAATAATTATACTGTTGAAATGTGTATTCAAATTATTAGGTAAAGGTTTTATTATTCATCAGTTATTTTAGCAACATGGAGGTGAATTATTCATGAGGTGTGAGATTTATTATTTTACCTACTTGGCTACTTCTGTCTGTTATTAATAAAAAACCTTTGGACGACGAAACCGACTTATGATGAGTGAAAAGGGTACGCTCCGCCTTCGGTCTGCTCATAAACCAACTATTACCACTAAATATATATTTTAGTCACAGTACAGTGCATCAAGTTGAATTTGGAGTGATCCAACACAAAGGCCGAGGATGAATAAGAAATGGATTATAATGGATTATTGAAATAACCAAGTGATTTATTCAATTAAAGACAAAGTAACTCAGGCCGCGCACATTGATTATAACCGCATTAATTAGTTTGGCAAGAATTCATGATATGTAGATTAAGTGCGACGATGGTTAACATAATTGTGAAAAACTTTTATTCCCTCGAACGTTTCGGTAACAACCCTCAGAATGTTTTCAGGAGGCATTTGATGAACGTTATGTGGACCCGGCGGTAGTTCAACAGTGTACGAAAGACTGATGTTAGCAAAACCATAAGCCCAATCACGACTCGATCCCGCTGTGTGGGTAAAAATCTCCACGGAGCTTCCGACCTTATACCGAGTCCCATTTACGGCATAAATAGCATCAGATGCACTTAATCCAAGATCACGTAACTCGTCTCTATTTGGTGGCGAATCTGATGTATAGCCCCATGGATGTAAAAGAGCCAAAAGCGGTGTGTGAATACTGAGATACAACTTTGTATTTCTTGCATACTTTAAAATAACTCTGCTAAGCGCGGTAGTTTCCGGTTCTGAAAATGCTTTTGGACCCGCGTAGTTTTCTGAACATTCATCCCTGTCACCTCCTTCTTCCGACCAGTGGAAGTCAAAATTTCGATTTGCGTCTACTCCATCGCACACGATCCCCTTTGAACGAGTTTTTCGCCATAACCGATCCTAAAAATTTCGTTACAAGCTATATCTGGCGAGTTAAAACGCAGACTTACGGTTGTATGCGTATATTCGTATCCATCTGGATTGATTAGAGGAATGATGATCCAGTTAACATTTTCTATCAATCTTCGATTATCGCCATTTTTAATTAGTTGGTTTATTATGTATAATGCTTGAGCTGGAGCCAACCACTCACGTGCATGTATTCCAGCATCTACTAGTATAGTTGGTTTATCAAGGCCGAACCCAGTAGATATTTTAACCAAGGTTAAATTTCTTTTTTCATAGGAAAGTCCATAATTCTCAAAACTGACGATTTCTTTGTACTGTAGTGCGATCCGTTCAAGGTAGTTTTGAATCTACAATATAGGTGTAGGTTAGGTACTTTATAATGACAACATGAAAGTGACTTACTTCAATGTATCGCATGTATCTGTCAAAACGCACTTCACCTCTGTTTAAAGGGGTTGCTTCCAGTATTTTCCTTTTTTCTTCGTTAATAGCACTAAAATGGTTAAGATACCGCTACACCAAAAATAACTTTTAATTAAATTTTAATTACCATTCCACGTCTTTAATCACCACTTCAAGGCTAAGGTCGTTATACAATTCTTCAAATGTGTTTTGGTAGTTGGGCGAAACCATTATAGTATGAACTTCATTTAGTCGTTTCGGATTCAACCAAATGTTGACATGTTGATTATTTTCTAGAGTTTCCAACAGTACCAAATGATCATTATTGCTTGGTGTCATTGCGTATACTTTGTAATTTTCATATTTAACCTTTCCAGCAAAAACTTCTGTTCCTAAGAAAAGAAGGATTATACATTTCAAAATCATATTGATTACTGAGTGAAATGTTCGCGGTATTTGCTTATCAATCAAGGTTCTCCACTCCATACATTCATTGCTAGATGTATGTCAATTAAGTATGCATTTAAGTGTAACTTCAAATTTTGGATAGTCATTACATTATTCCGGATAGCAACACCAGCTACTCCTCTATTCCATTGTTCTCTTCATACTTCACACACTTCTTGAGAGTTTAGTACTTGTAGTTAATCTGTGACGTATAGTCCTTACTTTTTAACTTACTGCAGTCTACGTTACAATCTTAATATACGTTAAAAACCGTAAAGCGAACGTAAAAGACTAAAACTGCTATAAATTATTCATACACCTGTAATATTAGAGTTTATTATGTACCTACATATGAAGGGGTTTATACGTGAATTCAAAATAGAATAATAAAATCATAAACCCGGTTTGCACGTTATGAACTGACATTTTTATAATAACTAATATTCTTTATGAATAAATTCATTTTTACAACACAATCTGTACTAGTCATACCTTGACATTTGCTAAGTTACATAAGGGGTGCATCTGAACTATAGTAGTTTCAAATGAGGTGGAAGATGAGGTCGCGTTGTCACCGGTAAAACAGGAATTTGCATCGCAATCGACTAAAAGACACTAGATATTGTACTCGTATTTACTATTGAATTAATGTTTTCTTAACACGCCGTATACTTTCCTGTCTTGAAATACTGATCTAATCTCTTCTGACATTTGATATTTCCGTATAAGTACCATATTAAAAGACAAATTGATAATAATTCAATTCCTCTACTCTTGACTGCGCATCTCATATTGGAAAAAATACTTCCAAGCATAACATTTATCCATAAGATTAGCTAATAAATTTTATAAAGTTTAAATCTTTCATCGTGCCGTTACGCAATTTACAACAAAAGCTCACATAAAACGCGACTGATAAATGAACAGTTATAAACTTTTTATATTCTTATATTTCACGTGAAAAGGTGGAGATGATTTCGCTGAAATGGAAATATGAGTAGACTTTACGAGAAAATTGCCTTTCCTGAATATTTAATTATTGTACAGATGTGATAGACAACTGCAAATTGAATTGAGGACCTGCTCTCGTTCTCGAAATCACTTTTTTACCTATTTCATCATTTTCTTGTGTTGTTAAGGCTTTGTAACTGAAATTCTTGGAGCGAAATTGCGTTAACCATGTGCAGTCGTGCAGATCACTTCCATAAGTTCGCATAGTAGTATACGTAAGAATTGACATTCGGTCTGGCTCTACATCTCATTTTCTCATATAAATAAAATGTTTTTAGGAAAAGGCATTAATTAAACAAAATACAAAATGGAATATATTCTTTAACTCTTCCAGGCATCTATATGCAAGAGAGATCGAGAATATTACGTCTCAAGTCACCACTTCTCTGCGAAGTGTGAACTTTTCCTCGTTTTGAGACAGTGTGTATGATTTACTTATTTAAAGTTCACAAAATGCAAGTGCAAATAATTTATTTACACATAGGTATACCTAGTCAAATTAAACCAGTTTCGCTTCTTTATGCCTCACCGCCAACTTTAAAATTAGAAAGTTCAAAGATTCTGTATGAGAACTTTATTAATTCCTATCTGCTTCAACTTATTATAAAATCCACCGTTTAAATATTAAAAGTTCGCAACATAGAATTATTCTCAAAGCAAATGACAAAACCGAAAAACCAGACCGTATTTTTCATCAGGGACTTCCGGTACGTGTCACAATAGTTTTTAATAAGGTGATAGTTTTACAGAACAGAATATTTTCAGTTTCTGTGTTATAATCGCACAAAACTGCAAACCTTCCCATTCAACTTTCATTTTCAATAACTCATGCAATTATTCTATCTGGAACCTCTAGTATATTATACAGTATGTAAAGTACCTCCAAAGCTTTTAAAACCATTCGAACCAATAATCTCATTCTCATTCGTTACTATACTTCAATTCAAATACAACAAGTACCTCGATAGGTAATGGAAACATTAAGTTAAACATAATAAATTACAGACGTTCCTAAATTTTTTATCTCTTACTTTATTGTTTCAATTCGAAACTGAAGAGGGTATTCGGCAAGCTTATATATTTAATTATAACTTTTCTTATTGCAAAACATACCTACAAAAAAACAACAGTGTAGAAACCTTATTAATCAACGAGTCTCACGAAAGTGCAAAAAACTCCTTTCAAAACTTTTAGTACAAACTCATATTTTAAGTTTTTAATTAGGGAAAACGTATACCTACCTGTGAAACATAATTCTTATTAAGTAAATAGCAAATGCGTATGTGATATTAAGGGCGCGCTATCAGTATTGTGTGTTGCCTATCTCACAATAGCTTTCTTATGGGAAACATGCCTAACGGAATTCATACCGTTTTTAAAAAGTATACATTTTTTTTGGGAAATGTTTGTTGTTTCTTGTTCTTAAATGTATGTAAATTATGAGTGAACAGTTTATATTGCACTAAAACTCATAGCACATTCTCTGAAAGTGTATAAAGTAGACGTGAGATTGCAATGGCAATCTTTTGTGTATAATTCAAAGGTCAAAGAAGTTTTTGAAATATAAATTGTTTCTCCAGATTCTTGAACATATAAGGAATAAAACGTGATGTAAAAATGGATAATATGTGGTTTCTAAAGCACAAACGGTATGAACTCCGTACACTTGAAAATAACTCGTAAAACAATTATAGAAAAGAAATCTGTGCTCAGTGTAGTTCAACGTGTATCCACTAAGATGGCTACGGTATACTATTCTTACAAAGCGGGAAATTTAAAGTGGAGTACTTATTGGAATGTATTAATGTATCTATTTTTTAGCAGTATAACTTATTCCTTTATTGGCTTTGTTGGTTATTAATGCAGATAAAATGTATCCAGCAAAAAACCGTACCATAAGTAGGAATTACACTGGTTAACGTTACCTACATTCAAAATTTGGGTTAGGAAACTGGCAAAAGAAGTCTTTATAAACGTTGAGTTTAGGATCATGGGATTTTTCACTCTACGTTATAATTAATTAATATAAAAATTTCAGAGCTTACAACAAAAAGAGGTTATGTGGGATGGTGTTTCTGAATTGATAATACAGTGTTAATACTGCTTACGTTTACCAGACGAAGCGCTACTTATGGGCAAGAATACTCTCGCCCAAGTTGCTATCTAATAGCACTGTCGACTTGTACGATGGTATTTACACCTCGGAAGTGCTATCAGACAACTCTGCAAGAAATCAGTAACTGAAGATTATATATTTATTCGATAATAAATGTACACGTCACTTACAACTAAATTTAAGCACTATTAATAATAACGAAACCCCACCGATTGGATGCCATCTTGGTTCCCATAATTTGAATGAACTACATACTATCGGCATTGAATAATTCAATCGTTGAGTGAAGGATCTCAATGTTATCGGTATTATATCAAAATATGATTTCACACCCAAACAAATAACATTCAATTATGAGTTAGTATTGCTGACTTGCAAATCTGGTTTTCCTAAAAATATTGCGTGGATTGTCCTTTGTGATCATAAAGGCTGAGTATTCCTTAAGGCCGATTCACATTATTATCGGTCAGGTTACGGTCAGAACATGAACAGTACAGAAATACACGGTTACAATAATTGACCGCACCGTGTTCTGACCATGATGTGACCGATGGCCTTATATAAACGCACTGCAATGACATCGTTCGGTAAAATGATAATCGGAAAAAAATGTACTCGGTGTCGGAAGTCAATCTTCGGAAATGTGTACAGTCGAAGGATAGCCTAAAACAATCCATTAATAGAACTATATTAAAATAAAGATCCTCAACTTTACTTACCTAGGTAGGTACTGGTTTTTTTTTGTTATTTTGCAGTTAATAGAAAATCAGGTAAACATAATCCATAACATAACCCAACTTTGAATGGCATTTCAGGAATTACAATTACTATAGGCACTGTTATTGGCATTCAATTGAATTACTGAACAAAACCGCATATTATGGTAAATAAGTATTTTTAGGTAGAATTTATTTCGCAAGATCACTAAATTCCCTTTTTAGAGTTACGGAACGATATTTACAGTTACAGGTGGTAACCAAAGATAAGCAAAATACTATTTTTAATTTTATCTCAAGACGAATGTATGCGAGTGTCAGCGACCTAACGAAGTACAAATAGGGATCGCGGATTCGGGATGGCAGCACAAAGCAACGAATATTTCAAAAATACTTCTTAGTTCACTTTTCTTACACCATGGCGTGCAAACGCACCCTTAAAAGTTAGCGCTACAGGGGATCAACAATCCTACCGTAGGTTTTGTGTATCATTACAAAACTCCTATGCGAATGACAATACACCGGGTGAATATTCCCAAACCGAACATAGGGAATTAACATGGGAAAAAGGGTTTTTGTGGATAGTTGCTCCCCGTGTTAACTTAGAGGGTTTATAGTGACACCAATCGAAAGAAGATTTTTTTCCTCGTTTAAGTAATGATATACGAACTAGTTCATTTTCAGGTGTATTTCTCCTATTTTATCAAAATTCGGCAATAAATCCACGTACCTAAATCATGTTAAGCCATGACTACATAGTAAGACCAAAAGCAGATTTAAACGTCGAAATCAATATCAGTTTATGACAACTGGCATTAATTTTTTTGTAAAATGCGGTTCATCGAGGAAAAAGTATTTATAATAAACAACTTTTACAGCGGAAATATTTACTCTAGTACCTACGCGATATTTGTTTTCCGTACATTTTAATGAGCGTCTCCGTCTGTGTGAAAACCTATTTCAATTCTTTAGGAAATTTCCATGGCTTAACATGATTTTGCTAATGGGATTTATTGCCGAATTTTTGATAAAATAATGAGAAATACACCTGAAAATAAACTAACTCGTATATCACTAGAATGAGAAAAAAATCTTCTTTTGACTGGTGTCAATATAACCCTTTAAGTTAACATGGGGAGCAACGATCTGCAAAAA